CCTCAACGGATCTTCTGAGCTAAAATAGGGTTTCTTCTCGTTGTGGTTTATCCAGCATTTGGCAATCAGCACTGCAGACACGGTAAGACAATGCATACCTTCTCCCTTGAAGATCAGGCTGCGCCTTCCCCTCTCCCAGCTCATGTTTTCAAACCCCAGCAGTGTGATATCAACTCTCAGTTTGGCACCACTTTTCCAGATGCGACAGACATCACTTGGACAAACCCGAGAAACCAGTGGAACTACAAAAGCAACACAGAAATAGAGAATATTCAAGAAACTAAGCAGGTGGGAAAACTGAATTCATGCATTACAAATAGCACTTCTACTTGAATTACTCAGTACTGTGATCATTATCCCACAGGAAACAAGACAAGAGCCCTCTTTAGCTTTCAGAGCAATCAGCTAAGGGACAAAAAACATTATTTTAATTTAAAGATTAATGTGAAAAGGAATGAGACATTAATTCAGACTAAGCTGTGAAATGGGCTAAAACCAATCTCAGTCTGATAGAAAGCTGCTTGGAAAATGAAGTCAGCCAGAAGTCAAGCAGAAGCAAAGCAGATACTTCCAAGAAGTCTGTGCAGTCACCAACAACCAGAGATAGGCAGGCCAGACTCTGGGAAAAGCCTTCAGTGACTGACAGTGGTTAAAGTCTCAGTAAAAAAAAAAACAAACCACCCCACAAACAGAATGGAAACAAAGAACAATTGTGATACAGAAATACAAAGGGTTATTCTGAGAGGTGATGGTAAGTATTCTGAGGGGCAGGGAACAACAAAGCCAATAAGTCTCTCCCTTTGCAGAGCTTTTGTGACATTGGTGGGAGTGAGTCCTTCTGCCTACTGCTTAGAAGCACCAACAATCAGGATTCTTACCCCAGCTAGTGAATTCCCATTTCATTTCCACATAAAAGTCAGGAGTCTGGGAAAGAAAAAGACCCCATGAATACTTCACAAAACAGAATTGATTTAACATTCAGCACAGCATTTCCCATGAATGTTTTAGATAAAGGAAAACTCAAAAACAAACAGCCTCAGTCTAACGAGCATATAACACTTCAGTCTGCTGTTACTTTATAATGAGCTATTCTTCTTTATGTTATTGCAGAAGCAGCAACACCTTAACAGCCACCTTTGAACACGACTACAGATTTCAAAAGGTCAGGGAAAAAAAGTCTCCACCTCCCACAGGCCTATGCAATATGTGAATTGAAGGGAAAGAATTCAGTTGCCCAAATTCAAATTAACTGAACTCTCGTCTGTCTCATTTCAGTTTATTCAACTGAACAACTGCAATCAGACTTACAGTCTGGAGTCAACTAAATAAGCACCTCATTAATCTTCTGGAGTAATTCAGGGACTCCTCCAAGCGTCCTGGAGGTCTGCTGATAGTCTCTGTGCTGCAGAATCATATGGACCATCTCTGGATCTCCTGTGCTGATGGCCTCATGTAAAACTGAAAGAAATCCAAGCACAAGATGGCTTCAGTTTGCTTTCTGAGCAAAACGCACAGTGCAGAATCCAAGTGCAGCACCTGCAAGTGAGAAGCAGTAAGAAACCATTCCTGTTTTTAAAGCAGTCTTTACCTGTCCATCCCTGTGCATTCTCTTTAGTTACATCTGCCTTGTGCTGAAGGAGGACTTTGGCAGATTCTATGTAACCCAAGGAAACAGCAAGATGCAGCAAGGTGCGGCCACGGGGATCGCGTTGATCAACATCCTGTTGAGTATCCAAGAGATAAGTAATGCTGACGTTGCTCTAGCAAATGCAGTTAACCACAATGCACTGAGAAGAGTTCACATGAAGCTTGTTGGGAATAACCTAGGAGCTAACGTTCCCTACATATGTCCACACAGCTCATGCTACGTAGTCACTCTATTTGCAAGCACTGCTGCGCTGCCCTTCTGCCCTCAGTACACTGCAATCTCACTTCCCAACGAAATAAAAAGAGAAGCAGGACGGGGCCTACAAACTGGTGTCACTGTAAAACACAGCTGAGCTCCCAGTGATGCTTCTCATTTCTCTTCCTGTGATATCTCCTCCTCTGAAGCAGTCCCTTCTAGGAAAAAACAGTTCTGTGTTCACTGAAACACACACAGTTAACAGCTCAAGAGAGATCACTGGAGGACTCAACGCACAGCGTAACAGGAAGGGGAAAAGAAACAAAAACAACTCAACAGGCGATTCAACACCAATCTCGTGTAGCACTTTGTGAGAGCACAGAAGCAAATGGTAAGTTACAAGGCATCCATTTTACTGACACACAGAGCACAATGAAGAGCGAATGCGTTTCGTACAAGACACTAAAAATAAAAAACTACACAAGCAAAAATATCCAAAACATGCAAGCACAACATACTCATACCTTACAAATCTTTCACTATTAGCTTAGAGATTTGAAACAGAAGAGCATCTATAACTAAAGGAAAAGGGGAAAGTCAATAGCAGAACAGGAAAGTTATTATGCAAGTTAACGCGGTTATCTGACAGCATCAAGTTCGAAAGATCACACACAATGGGGGAAGCTTCATTTTAAAGCATTCTTTTCTCAGTTCTGTTCTGGAATACCAATGCATCTGTCTCTCCACTCCCTACCACTCCAATGCTAATTGCTCTAGTGTGGGAAGGACCTCTCCTAACCAGTAAGCCATTAGTTAGGGGTTCCACCCCTCCTTGCCATACCCAGTGCAGCTGGCAAAGTGCCTTTTGATTCCTTCACGTGCCTCTATGCCAGCAAGAAGCTTATCCCAAGGAAGCAGGAGGAAATAGATCTTTGGAATACTTCAGAAGGGAAAAAAGTAATATTTAAAAGCAGATAAAGTAAGAGATGGACACGTCCCATCTCAAAAGGCTGCTCGTTGCCTCACAGTGAGGAGCACCCACAGGTGTGGATGCTCACTTAGCCCCAGTCTCACAAAGACAAGCAGCACGAGGATCCTTATCTGATTACAAACGTCCACACATCAAAATGTGACTGCAATAGAAATAAACTGAAGCAGTGTGCCAGCAAGGTTAAAGACGTTAAGGATTAAGGTTAAGTGAATTAGATGAAAGCTAACTGCATTCCAAAGATTCTCCTTCAAAATCAGGAGAGGTGCATGCTCTCAGCAAGCATTAGTAAGTTGTGGAGCACTGTTAGAACTGCAGGTGGCAATCACCAGTCAGGAGTGGCAAAGCCCAACTTGGGATCGTGTCCTTGTGGTGCCAGGCAGAATGCAATGAGTGTGTTCTGCTCCCAAATGATTTCCCCCCCACCCCAGTGTGCACCTGAGCCTTAGCACAGTGCCTCAGCACAAAGGATACTTCAGCCTGAGCTCTGCTGCAGCATTTCAGACTGTTATTCCCTTACGTCATTACTATTTCTCCCTCAGCCACCCCAAAGAGGGAACAGCTTTGTATTTTTCTACTCTATAGCATGAAACAATGAGTCCATTTTTTTTTTTTTTTTAAACTGAGATGCTGAGAACACTCCAGCCAGTATAAAACTGCTGCCTCTAAGCGCTGCTGGTCCTCAGCAAGCCACAGCCTGCCCTCATCTCCAGCAGCAACAGCTCTGCTGCACTCTGATTTTCCATTAAGCTAAGCTGTGCTTGCTGCTTATTTACACAGAAAAACAATGGAAGTCCATCACATCCCTATACCTTCTTACCTCACTCCCAAACCCACAAATAGATGCAGAAGGAGAACAGTCCCACCAGCCTGGCACGGACCCAGGGCGCAGCTGAGGCTCTCTCTGCCCAGGAGGGTAGCAGTTACCTGTTCTTGCAGCTCTTCATCCAGCCTCCGATACTCATTGTTCCACACCAGGAGGTGCAGGGGGAACGCACTGCTGGCCCTGCCGGGGGAACTCATCATGCCACACACCTGCAGGAGCGGGGAAAGCAGGCAGCCTGCCCTCACCGCCCCCCCCCCCCCCCCCGCTTTGCTTAGTGGTGCCCCATGCAGAATCCTACACCCTGGAGGGCTGCTCCAACTGCTCCCCTCAGGCCTTCATCCCAGGGCCTCCCCCTCAGGACCCTTCCCCAAACCACCATCCCTAGGGCCTCCATCAAGTCCCTGCTCCTGGAGTCCCCTTTAGGCTCCAGTTTCTGCCCCCCAGCCCTCATCCCTGTGGCCTCGTCCATTCCCTCTCCCAGACCCCCACTCCTGTGCCTTTCCTTGAGCCCCTCACTCCTACCCCTTTCCCTCAGGCCCTTGCTCCTGGAGTCCCCTTCAGACCCCTATCCTTGGGGTCCCTCTTACACCTCAGATTCTGCCTTCTCCTCCCTCTTTCTTTTCCCTTTCCCCCCCCCCCCCCGACCCTCAGAGCCCCGAGGCTCCGTTCCTGTCCACCCCCCTCTGATCCCATTCCCGGGGCCCCTCCTCAGCCCCTCACTCCTTCTTCCCACCCCTTCCCCCACAGCCCTGCTCCTTCCCCCTGCATCCCAAGGCCCCACCTTAAACCCCAGCTCCCGCCCAGGCCGTCTCCTCACCCCCGTCTCTTCGCCCCTTCCTTTCCCTCCAGGGCAGCGGTAAGGACGACCCACAGCACGACAGGTGCGGAGCAAAGGGCGCCGGGCTCTGCCCTCACCCTACTGCCACCGGCGGGCCCCGGGCAAGCGGAAGTCGCCGTTCCCCGCTCTCCCCCCCCCGCTTACATACGGGGCGTCCCGCCCGCCGGCTCCGCCATCACTCTCCGCTCTGGGGGGGGCGCCGCTGCGGCGTAATACGGGATGAGGCGCCCGGTGCGCACCGCGCCCCCCCGCCTCCGGGAAGCGTTGGTTTTGCCCGCCCGCTCTGCCGCGGAAGTAGGAAAAGAGCGCGGCCATCGCGGGTAAGGGCAGCGCCTCCGGCCGCCATCTTGAGTCGGGGCAACGCGACAGCTACGGCGCCGTGGATCCGCCGAGCGCAAGCGGTTTCGCGAATAGCCCTGGCGGCGTAGCGGGCGGAGCTGCCGCGCGCCTGCGCGTTGTGGGCTCGGCTCGGCCGCCCGGCGGGGCTGCGGCGGCCCCGTGAGCGCGCGGCAGGAAGCGGCCGCCCCGCTCCGCGCCGCGATGTCGAAGCGCCTGAGGAGCAGCGAGGTGTGCGCGGACTGCAGCGCGCAGGGTAAGGCCGGCTGCAGCGCGGGGGCGAGGAGGAGGAAAAGGAGAAGGAGGAGAGAAGGAGGAGGAGGAGGAGGAGGAGGGGGCAGCCGGGCCCATCCCCACCCCCTCCCCCGGGGAGGCGCGGGCAGGTGCCGCGGGCGGGCGGGGCGGCGGAGAGCGGCAGCGCCGTGCGGGGGGGAGCCGCGCTGACGGCGCTGCGAGGACAAAACGCTGCTCTGAAACTCCTCCTCGTCCCCGCTGCTGCTCATCTGTAGCGCTGCTGCTCAGAACTGGTTTGTTTTTGTTTTCTGGAATAATAGCGTGTGCTTGTTGTCCGTCTCTGCCAGGTCGGTGCGTTTTCTGTGGGTTGTGTTTGCCTGTTTTGTGTTTTTCTGTTCTGCGGATCTGATCGCTGATGGGGGCGGTGAAATGAATTGAAGCGCTGCAGCGTGAGCCGATGGGGACGGCGGTGCGAGGAGGGGAAAGGAAAGGCGGGTCCGAGGGGGCTCCGAGGGCAGTCGGACCCTGGCGGCGCTGCCCGGAGCTGTGGTGCCACGTCCGTGAGGTGCCCGAGGCCGTGGATGGGCGCTGGGCAGCCCGAGCTGCGAGCAGCCTGCACACGGCCTGTTCGATCTGCACTGTTTGATCCACGTTGGCTTCCCCAGCTTCTCTTTGCTCCTTTGGGACCACAAGTGGTTGTGCTGTGCACGAGTTTACGTGCTCTTTTCTGATGCGTTTCCTATGCTGGGGCAGGAGCTCGCTTCTCGTACCCACAGAGCACGCCTGTCCTTGCACACTTCCTGTTTTGAACCGCTCTGCCATGTTCCTGAAAGCAAACTTGAGAGACCTTTTGAGCTTTTGTTGTGTTCTGCCACCGATGTAAGTGTATTTGAGTCGTATCGCCTTTAAAAACAGACTAAACTCCAACACAGACATCTAATTTAATCCTGAAATAACAGTCCTCCTATAACCTGACAGCCCTCTGTCATAACCAACATGTCTGAACTGAATGGAAGCCCACAAATCTTTGTGTAGTTCAATTAAAACACCGCTTGCAATTAAAGAGTGACTTTGAGAGCAGGTTGCAGTGCTGAACTCCTGCTGCTGTTCAGTTAGCCTCGTATGCAGTGTGTGGGAGCTCAGATTACCAGCAAGGCTTCTGCTTTTCTCTTCAGAAGAGTGCTGAAGCCTCCTTTCTGCTATGGAGTGACCAAATAAACAGGAGCTTACTTTGCTGTAGCTGAACAGAGCCGGTTATGTTGCATATTGAGGAGCAGATCGTGACCACAGAATCACCAAGGTTGGAAAAGACCTACAAGATCATCCAGTCCAACCATCCACCCATCACCAGTTCTCACTAAACCATGTCCCTCAACACAAAATTCAGCCGTTCCTTGAACACCTCCAGGGTCGGTGACTCCACCACCTCCTTGTGCAGCCCATTCCAGTGCCTGATCACTCCTTCAGAAAAGCAGTATTTCCTAACGTTCATCCTGAATCTCCCCTGATGCAGCTGAAGCCATTCCCTCTAGTCCTGTCACCAGTTACACAAGAGAAGAGGCCGACCCTCAGCTCACTACAACCTCCCCCCAGGAATAGAGAGCAATGAGGTCTCCTGTGAGCCTCCTCTTCTCCAGGCTGAACATTCCCAGCTCCTTCAGCCACTCCTCATAAAGCCTGTGCTCCAGATCCCTCACCAGTTTTGTTGCCCTTCTTTGAACCAGCTCCAGGGCCTCAATGTCTTTCTTGCAGTGAGGGGCCCAAAACTGGACGCAGCACTCAAGGTGTGGCCTCACCAGAGCTGAGTACAGGGGCACAATCACTGCCCTGCTCCTGCTGGCAACACCGTCCTGATGCAAGCCAGGATGCCATTGGCCCTCTTGGCAACCTGGGCACACTGCTGGCTCATGTTCAGCCGAGCATCAATCAATGCCCCCAGGTCCATCTCCTCTATGCAGTCTTCCAGCCGCTCTGCCCCAAGCCTGCAGTGTTGCCTGGGGTGGTTGTGGCCAAAGTGCAGGACCCGGCATTTGGCCTTGTTGAACCCAGCTCTCCAGCCTGTCCAGATCCCTCTGTAGGGCCTCGCTTCCCCCAGGCAGATCCACACTTCCAGCCGACTTGGTGTCATCCGCAAACTTACTGAGGGTGCACTCAGTGCCCTCATCCAGGTCAGCAATAAAGACACTGAAGAAGACAGGCCCCAGCACCGACCCCCTGAGGAACAGCACTGGGGAACACCACTGACCAGTGACTGAAACCAGGAGCACAGTGGCTTTCAGATCACATTGATGTATGAATGAGTGTATGATGAGGCTGTCTGTAATGAAAGGGGACGAGGTTCGTTAGTCTGGAAGGATGCCTCCAGTCTTGGGTTGTTAGGCTGGGGTTAACACAGCTCATTTTGTTATGTTTTTCTGTCTTAGAAGTGAAAGTTGTTAAAATAATGGAATGTTTAACAATGAGGATGCAAACTCCTAATTACCTTGTTTTTTTAAATTAGATTAGGTTTTTTTTTCTACAATATACACTTCAGTTTGGCTCTGAGCTGTGTAATAGTTATCATCTGTCAGTAGATGCTGCCTTCCCTTGTGAGCTGTGGCTTGAACGGGTTTGCCTGCATTGCCTTCAGCACACACAGCATCAGCTCTGCTCAGAAACCACATCAGTGATCAGATCTCACGTTTCATGGATTCAATATATTTATTGCACGGGTCACAGCAGGAGATTTTTGTGATGCACAATTGCTTAGATGTATTCTGACACGATGCAGAAGAGCTCTCATCAGATACAGGCCTGTGTTGTACTCATTCAGCCTCAAACCCATCGCTGGCTTTGGAGTTATGTAGTTTTCCAAAACGGAAGAGATCTTGAATTCCTTTTTCCTCCTGCAATGTGCCAGCTCTGACAATCTGTCTTGCTGCTCACTTTCTCTTCCCGCAGGGTTCTTGGCCCATGGAGCCTCTTCTGTCACTGACAGAAACTGGAGTTGCTTCTGAGAGCAGTAAAGCTAAAGCTAAAATACAGAGTTCTAAAACACAAAGTCATTTTACACTCTGAAATAAGAAGTCACGCTGCCTTCTGTGGTTGTAATAAATGTATTCTTTTTCAGATCCTTGTTGGGCATCCATAAACAGGGGAATTCTGATTTGCGACGAGTGCTGCAGCGTTCACCGGAGTTTGGGGCGTCATATCTCTCAAGTGAGACATCTCAAGCACACACCATGGCCTCCAACACTGCTGCAGGTAAAGAGCAATGGCATCTCCTCCCTCATTAAAGCTAGAATTTCTTTGTGGCGTTTCTATATACGTGTATAAAAATAATTTATATATATAATAAAAAACATCTTTTTTATTTGATACCTTTGTTTTGGGAAGGGACCTTCAGTTTTTCTTTCAGACTTGTGCAATGCATCTGATTCAACCTAAATCTTCAGTGTATAGCATGCTTCTCTTTGATAGAGATGTTGTGGAGAGAATTGGAAGGGGGTTCATATCACATTCCACACAACAGCCTCCTAAACATCAGCTGGGCTCTGATACCCCAGTAGGTTTCAGGCACTGGTGCACAGAATATTGAGTCAGTGCCATCCTGCTGCTGGTCTTCACAGTACTTGCAGCTTTCTGCTGAGTTGGCTGTGCAGCTAGCAGCAAACATTCTTCACTCCTGCCTCTATACATTTTGGATTTCAGATGGTTGAAACGCTGTATAATAATGGTGCTAACTCCATATGGGAACATTCACTGCTGGACCCTGCTTCTGTAATGAGTGGAAGGCGCAAAGCTAACCCTCAGGATAAAGTGCAGTAAGTGGAAAGTCACAGATCTTTTCTTTGTAGAGGTGTGATTGTTTTATTCAGCAGTGACGTAGGCAGCAAGGTGTACATGGGAACCCGAGTATGTTTTGTTTCTGAAGATAGAAGTCAACTAGTTCTTTGTTCATGGGTATTCCATGTCATCAGATTTTCTTTTTTAACATTCTCAATGATTACTGTTCAATTTATTTCAAAGATGGAAATACAGCTTCAGTTCTATGAGCTATTGATTCCTGATGTCTTGCTTGGAATAGTAATAGCTGATGTCTGTTGTTTCGAAAGCACTAACATTTCTTCCCATTTTGTTGCTTGGGGTTTCTCTGCAGTCCCAACAAAGCTGAGTTCATTAGAGCTAAATATCAAATGTTAGCATTTGTTCATCGCTTACCCTGCCGTGAGGATGACAGTGTAACTGCCAAAGATCTCAGTAAGGTGAGTCTACTGGTGGCTTTTTTGTTATTCATCCTGGCAGCATACAGAAGCTCCAGCTTGTGTGTAACAGCACACTGAAATCTAACTGAATTTAGTTGCTTTTGACTTAACTGTTGCTGCTGTTCAGCACTGTTATGTAAACAAACACAGCTTGACTTCAGCCTGAAGCAGCTTTTTATGTAATATATGAACATACAGAGATTCTGGAGAGGTGGATGGTTCAGAGGCAATGATTTAGGTTAACTGGGAGAAAAAAAAAACATTATATAAAACAGCTGCAGCAAGAATTCTTGTATAAGTGTTTCTAAAAGCATTGCTGAATCACCGTTTCTGCCTTTGTGTTGAATAGAATCCTCCTCCTTTTTCAGCAACTCCATTCCAGCGTGAGGACGGGGAACCTGGAGACGTGTTTGCGACTGCTCTCCTTGGGAGCCCAAGCCAACTTCTTTCATCCTGTATGAACCTGCTTTTCATTATTTTGATGTGTGATCCATCTTTAGTGTTCGTGGTATCGATGCAGATTTCAGATGACGTGTTATATTTCAATGGTACATTCAAAGCTGTTGATGAAATAGTGATGTGCTTTTCCTTACTGACCTGTAGGAGAAAGGAAACACCCCACTCCACGTTGCTGCTAAGGCAGGACAGACTTTACAAGCAGAGTTATTAGCAGTGTATGGTGCTGACCCTGGCACACAGGATTCCAATGGAAAAACTCCAGTTGACTATGCAAGGTAGAAGCTCTGACACACGTGATGTTTTTAAATGTTTATGTTTAAATTTTTCTCTTTGTATAACTTACATAGGAGTGACTAACAGAACTCCTCTTTCTATGTTTGTGTGAACCAGACAAGGTGGACACCATGACCTGGCAGAGCGCCTGGTAGAAATTCAGTATGAGCTCACTGACAGGTTAGCTTTCTATCTCTGTGGCAGGAAACCAGGTGAGTAGAAAAACCTGCACCCCTAGGTCTTTATATGTTAATAACTGTTGGGCAGTTCAATCTGTGATATGTATTGTTTCCATATTACTACACTTGTCCCTTGTATATCTTAGTAAGTTAAGGGCTTATTACGTGCAAGGTCAGATGAGTACTCTTGAGTTGCAGGGAAAATACAATGTCTGTAATGCTGATTAGTCTGCAGGGCATACTGCAGAAGCACTGAACTAAAAAAAACTTAAGTAGTTTATTCTAATTGAAATGCAAAAGCAGAGTATCATCCCATTCAATGAGTGCTTCTTTGAAGGCACACGCGTGGAAATTTTTAGCCATCAGGTTCCATGAGGGCACCTACATTGGAACTGAAGCTTATTTAGAAAAAAATAATAATGCAGTTGATAAGACTTAATTGGAAGCTTTTATAACATGAGCAAATCATGGTAGGAGCCTTCTTTGGAGACTTGCTAGCTTCCTGTAGTTGGAAATTAAGTGATGACTTGCAAGATAGTCTGTTCTGGGTTTGCAAACATCCCTGGGTTTCCCACTGCATCTCCCACTAACAGCCTATTAAAGTATAGTTTGTTTTCAACTCTAGATCATAAAAATGGACAGCACTTTGTTATACCTCAGATGGCGGATAGGTGAGTTTGACATGCCTGAAAGCTGTGTGTAAACAGACAATCCTTGGAGTTAGACTGAAAACTTTCCTCTTTGAAATCACTTCTAAGCTTGTTGTCGTTTTAACTTATGACATGCTTTCATCATTCTTAGACAACATCAGAAAATTACAGAAGCTTATTGTTTGTTGAAATGCAGATGGAATAATTAAATTAAACATATATTTCTGGGGAACAGATTTTCTCAAATAATGTAAGGATCTGATTATTTCCTGATACTGCATTTTGAAACAAATGCTTGCAGAAAAGCATGATTTCTGACAGTGTTTGTACTTTTCGTTACCTGAGTGCTCTTAAGTTTTGCTTGCAGTCAACTAAATCATTTTTTGTGTGAAAAATATCACGTATTAATCATAAGTCATAAACATTTTTCTTTTATTGCCATGCCATTGGAAATAAGACGGCTGTAAGTAAACTGCTGTTCAGTTTATTGCTGTTGTCTCTGAAAAGCTGTAAGACAAATAAAAATTACTATGGAATGGTTGGTAAAAAAAAGCCTACTGAGAGGGTCTGTTACTTTTTAATATCATGTAGTCAGCTGTTAGGCTGAGTACAGTGCAAAGTATTTTGCAGAGCAGGGTAAGCATCGTTTGTACATTGCATGAAGAAGCAAGCTGACATGAGGAAAACAACATTCAGAGATGCGTTTAGGTTGCAGAGCCTGGAGTGCAACTTGGCAGTCTCACCTCCACCTGATGTCCTCTGCTGGTCTTTTAAGTTTTATTTTACATTATTTTCCTTAGGTAGGCAGCAGCCTACATGAATCCCTGTGATGTTCAATCATGCAGAGATTTACTTGAGCCGTTTCATCTTTGTAGGTCAGGGATGTCATCCCTTGGGTGATAGAAGCATGGGCTTAAAATTTGTCAGCTTCCTAATCTGTGTCTTTTATGATTAATTCAGTTGAGCTGCAGAATTTTCATCTTGTGCCTCATGTTCAAGGCTGGGAGCTAGCAGAACAGCTTATTTCCCAATGGGTACAGAGTAACATAAAGCAGGGCTGCAGCCCTTTGGCAGCCTGATGGTCACATACCTCCTGCAGTCAGTGGAATAAAGCCTGTTTGTTTCCTCCAGTTTTGGTTACAGTTTAGCATGTTTTTCAGGTTCTCTACAGAAAACATTTTGTTGCTTTACAAAACGCTTTATCACCCCCTGAGCCATGCAGATACGTACTTCCATTCTGAAGGGTTGTTGGGATCCTTTTGATTTTGTTTTATTTAGTAAAGTGTAAGAGTATGCTAATTAGTGTATTGGTAATATTGGAAAGGATGATGTGCTAAGGACTGTATGAAATACTAACAGCATCAAATAAAAGAGATTTTAATCATTGAAATGTGTGGGATTTATCTTTAAAGTAGCCCTTAATGCTGTAGATGTAATGATCACTTTTTGTTTTCATAGCAGTCTGGATTTATCAGAACTTGCAAAAGCAGCTAAGAAGAAGCTTCAGTCTGTAAGTAGAACTTCCACGTGTGCTGTGCAGCACTGTTAGTGTGATGTGGCAAATGCTGCCCTTCATCCTTCAAGCTGGTGTTTCAGCTACTATCAATTCCTAAACAAATAATGTCACAATTTGTTAAATGCTATTATTTAATTCTAACTTTCTGGGAAGCCAAAATAGATCATTGCTGTCTGCTGGTTAGTTGTTGTTAACACAAACAGCGTTACTGAGGTGTTTGTGACCAAATCCAAATACAGCTTAGGGAAAAAGCTTTTAGCTGAAGCAAACTGAACCAAGATGAGAACTGTGTCAGGAGGAAGCACAGTTGTGATGATACTGTTCTATTCAGCAATGTCTGTTTTAGCATGGTGGTAGCAGTTAATTTAAATGCATAGATAGATTCCTGCTTTGTATTTTTGCAGGCTGGGTGGGTTGACCCAACACACATCCCCTGCCTGCAGGACTGCTCTGCAACTCACACCTGCTTAATGCATAACTTAACTGCTTGCTTCTCAGCCTGCACAGTTACACAGGGTGGAAGAGCAGCAATGGAAAGCAAAGTTGTGCACTTCTATTTTCAATGTTACAGAGGTTCTTAATAGGTTCAGTTTGATTTTCAGCTGTAATTTTTCTCTTCTACCCCTAGCTAAGCAACCACTTATTTGAAGAACTTGCCATGGATGTGTATGATGAAGTTGACAGGAGGGAAACAGATGCAGGTGAGCAGAACATGATAAAACATGAATTGTTACATCACAAAGAGGATGCTAGTTGCAAGCATGTGTTCTGTTTAAAATACTTTTGTGTTAAGAAGTTACTGATAGTGGTAGTTTCTTTTATTATGTTGTCTTCAGGTGCCTGTTCATTTAAGTCTTTTTTGTTTGGTTGGTTTTGTTTTTATCAAAGAGACCTCTGGGGAAAAAGAAATCTTTGGTTGAATTGATTGATTTTCGTGCTTGAAATTGTGGTCTTTGTTTCTTTGACAGAAAGCACTGCTGAACAGCACAGGCAGTTTAATCCTTTGTTATTTATTATTCTTTTTTTCCCTTCCTTGAGCAGTTTGGCTTGCTACTCAGAATCATAGTACTCTTGTGACAGAGACCACAGTGGTCCCTTTTCTTCCTGTAAATCCTGAATACTCCTCAACCAGAAATCAGGTACATGATCCTAATACTATAAATCTGTTCTTGTTCAACAAGCCAGTTATTCTAAGCAATATTGCTCTACTGCTCTTCATTATTGTAGAAGAGTTGCAACTGCTTGTGAAGAGGATAAAAAACGTTTTGCATTACCTCTTCCCTAGAGTTCTGCAGATGCTTAAACTGAACAGTCAGCTCACTGTGCTCTTTGTTTTGCCTGGAAATTGTGCTGTTCATCTACTATATGACACTTACTAATTTTATTAATTTATTTTCTAACTTAGGGAAGGCAGAAACTGGCTCGGTTTAATGCTCATGAGTTTGCTACACTAGTTATAGATATTTTAAGTGATGCCAAACGAAGACAACAGGGGAATCCTCTCTCTGGTTCAAAAGGTGAGTTTTGGTTGGCAGCTCTTTCATTTATCCTATCACATCAATCTTGCAGTAATTTAACTGATGTGAGATAGGGTAGCATCATTCAGAAGTACAATGAAGAAAGAAACTCAGAATGTTTTTACATGACAAAAAGAACTAAACTGGCACATGGATAGCAACCTGTCCTGTCTCTCTGGGTAAAGAGCTTATTTGATTAATTATTTTTATGCACTTCCATTTCTCCTTCCAACTTATTAGTATATTTTAAAATGGATTTTGATTGACAGAAAATGTGGAACTGATACTCAAATCAATCAGCAATCAACATAGCAGTGAAAGTCAGGATAATGACCAGCCTGATTATGACAGTGTTGCTTCAGATGAAGATACTGATCTGGAAACAAATGCAGCTAAATCAACAAGGCAGAAGGTAGGTTTGTGGTATTGGTATGCACACCAAAGTCATTCATAAAGGTAGTCTGAAGTCAAGGGAAATTAACACCTACAAATAATCAGATAATGAATATTTACTTTTCAACTTCACTTTAGAATTATCCCTCAGCCTATGTATACTTTCTTACAGAATTAGATGTTGTGATATATAGAATTTATACTGCAATTAAAAGGCTGCTTCAGAAAAACAGACAGTGCCATTGTGCATGTCACAAGACAAGACCTGACTGCACAGATGAAATTGGATCTACTGAAGTGCCTCTAATCAATGGTTACATGGGATTTCACAAACATTTACTTGTTCCTACTCAAAAATATTCACAGCATGTCAATACTGACATTTTTATGCCATTCCTGAAAGTAAAGCAGCATGGTGAAAAGGGGGCAGTCATTGTCCTGCTTTCTCTCAGCAGAAAGAGTTTTCTCTCTCTGTTTCTAGAGCCTGGATTCAGACTTGTCAGATGGACCAGTCACAGCCCAAGAGTATCTGCAAGTTAAAAATGCACTGGTGGCTTCTGAGGTAAAGATTCAGCAGCTAATGAAAGTGAACATCAACTTGAGTGATGAGCTGAGGATCATGCAGAAAAAGGTAACAAGCACAATAATGTAACCCCATCCAGTTATGTGGTTTTAGTTGCCAGAGTAAAACTGCTGAAATTGAAGATGAAATGAATGACCCAGTATGAGAATAGTGAGAAAATCTTTGAAGTGGACCTGCTTTAGAGTTAGGTAGGAGATAGGAACATGTTTCTGTAGCAGAACTTACATGTGTATCAAGCTGACTATCCTGTTTGTCACCTAGTCTAAAAAGGGCTGAGTGTTTCTTCAGATGGATTCCCTTACCCAGTGTTAAAAGCCCTGTTTTCCAGATAGTTGCAATACTGCAGTATATATAGCATGCCCTGCAGGAGGCTCTCCTTAAAGAAAAAGTTGGCTTCAGAGCGTTCAAGCCATCCTCTTGCTGAGAAACCTGTGCTCATGACTTTTTTTCCCCACCCTTGTGTTCTTTTGGGTCAGGGAGGCACCACTGACCTACAGTCTGATGCCCAGATATCAGCAAATTCAAATATCCTTGGCTATTTGATGCCAACTTTTTATTACAGTTGTATTCAGCCTTTGAGATCTATTGGCACAATGAATACAGAGAGGAACCAAAGAGATCTCAGAATGTTTTCTTGTTTTGTTCCCCAGCCCCCAATAGCTTGTACTGATGGAGCATTTTTCTGTATCTGTTGAATTAACTTTTCATTGACATTGAGTTTCTTGAAACAGATTTAACCTACATGTGTGGGGGGGGGGGGAAAAAAAAAAGAGGGCCTATGAATTAATGATGCTTCAGTGCATGCTTACATGATGTGGCAAAAGAGAAACCATTGCTGCAGTAGAACTCATCTTGAAAAGCAGCACGGCTGGGGCTCACTCATCCTGAATGCTGCACTGATGTTATGTCCTGGTGATGTGCACAGCTGTGGGACTCGTTCCAGTTAGTGCTTGGTGGCTGTGCAGTGCAGCAGTGTGCCTCTGTGGGACACAGGACAGGGAGAAGCAGCAACAGCTGGATTAGCTCTGAGCTACTGCAAGCTGCAGTTCAGTATGGGACTTCTCTGCTGGGTTATTTGTGGCAAGGCACTGATACATCTGTACTACTTCAGCAGTGCTGGTGCAAGATGTCATTCAAAAGGCTCTCTTCTTTTTTTAGTATCCCTTCATTTGCTAATCGAGGGCTTAAAAGGCCACAAACCTGTTAGAAGTTTTTTTTCAAGTCCTTTACCTGTCACCTTATTAGCTAACAGAGCACCTGATCTTCTGCATTACTGTTACTCAAATATGCTAATTAAAGAGGAGGCACCTGATGAGTGCCCCTTTAGGGGAGATTATCTCTCAATTCAGAGGAAAACAGTTCTCTTTTTCATTGGGCATTCTAATGGGAAAAGTTTTCATGCCTGCAGACTTTTCTTAAAACATACAGGTGCTTAAGAGCTTGCTGTGTATTTACATTAGCTGCTGGATTAAACTGCACCTAAAGCTGGTTATAAAGAGTGGCAGAAGCTAGGAAAAAGGAAGCTACAGATTTCACCTCTATCAAAATAAAGATATTTAAATAGGTGCTGTTCTTGAGGTTGCATGTGACTACAGTCAATGCCAGTAATAAATGAGCCATTTCATGTTTAAAAGGCCATCAACTGTTTGCAGTACTTGGTATATTGTTAGAAAATTGCTGAGGCATAATTTTTTTCTACATTTTCTTCTTTATGATGTGTTAATATAGCAAACTTACTCTTAGTAGCTCCATAAAAATTCAGGGTTGTTGCAGTTTTACTATCCATCAAATACACGTAATAAAAAAAGCTTTAAAATTATTTCTTGTTGGCTTCTTAGAAAGCAGTAGCTGATTCTTTATTTTCATAAGCTAAACTCTCCTCTTGCTTTGCAAAGCAAGCTCTGGTTTTCTTTGCACTGCCTCTGATATCTGTGCTTTAGTTTGGGCCTTTTCAGATTTTGTGGGCCTTGTGTTATAGTTCTCTTCAAAGTTCTTGTTTGACTGCTGAGATGGATCACCTTGCTTGAAAGAACTGCTCTTTTGGCAGTCCTTCCCCATGCATCCTCATTGTGGTATGTGATCCACACACCACTGCAGCCAGGCTGAAAGGAGCAGACTGTGTGTGTTTGTGTTTTGTTTTGTACTACAACAGCCAATTTTAAGATCCAGTTTCACTTGCAGCCCAGCAAGCAAATGCTGGAAATCAACTCAAATATTTGCCAGATCTGCAACATAGACATTTCTGTGCCTATACTAAACAAGTCAAATAGATTTCTGAAGAATTAATCAAACCCCAGCTCCTGGAAGCTGGATTTGCTAGTAAAGCAGACAAGCACGTATTGCCTGGTCAGTTTGCTTTTGACACTTGCTATTAGAAAAAACAAAGTCCCACTGCTAAACATTTCTTTCAGCTTCAAACGCTACAGAGTGAAAATACCAGCCTCAGAAGACAGGCCACAACAAATATATATCAGGTCCAAGCTGGTTCTGAATACACAGACCCCAGCAGCAGTTCTTCCTTAAAGCGACGGCCGTCTGCACGGGGTAGCAGGCCCATGTCCATGTATGAGACTGGATCGGGTCAGAAACCCTACCTCCCCATGGGAGAGGTCACATACCCAGAAGAAAGCATAACAAGACTGCAGCCTTTTCCTCCACACGTAAGTAAAACTGCTAATGCTTCTGCACTTCTCCTTTCATTCAGCTTTTCTGTCTCTTCCAACTGTGCTCGCTTACCAAAGCTGCTCAACTGTTCACTTTGCAGGGACTTTGAACTGTAAGAGTTGTTACTGTTTGCTGTATTAACATGTCTGCAGGAGCCTGATGTTTTGAGAATTAAAGGCTGTAACAGCTCCAGAACATTTAAGCTGAAGCTTTTGGCTTCTGCTCAGCTGTTTCTTTTAACCACAATATATTTTCCAAATATCAACATACAGCTGTTTGAAAACCAGGAAGGAGGTAGAAAGTAGTTTCTAAGCAGTATTCTAAGAAGGTGGGTGCAACTCATAGATTTATATCTTGCATGAGCATCTGTGGAACCCTAGAGTGACATTTAAAAAAAATAAGAACAAACCTGTAAGATCAATAAGTACACAGATGTTGTAAAGTATCGGATGATCAATAAGCATATAGAGAAGTTGAGCTTAGTGAGATACCAAAGATAAATGGAAGGTACTCACCAGTGTTGTAGGCTCGCAAGGAACAACATGAGGAGCAATCTCCAGAAAGAGACCCTTCCTCAGTGGCACTCAGCCCTTAAATGGGGTCTAGGGGAGGTGCAGCCAGGCTCCACCCCTTCCAATCACACAGCTGAACCACCTTCACCTCCTGTGGCTGACCCAGTGCTCACCTCAGGTGGTCAATCAGAGGTTCAGGCCAACAGTTCCCTTACCGACCTGATGCCAGCTTTTTCACTGAGCATCCAGTTTCCTGTCCTGAGTTTGGAACTGGAGGCTACAGGCGGTGTAGTTCTGTTAGTTGAACAAATTCTTCTGGATTAGTGTTTTCCCATGTGATGCATTGGTAGAGAGCTCTGTTTTAGCCACAAGGATCCTGCACTGATGTGGGAGCAGGGCAGATGTTCTGTTAGTGTTCCAAGGAGGACAGTGTGCACCCCAGGGAATCGCTACAGAAGTTTGTATGCTGTTCCCTCTCCTCGCCCCTCCCTGCAGTTATGTTAAAAAGAACTTAAAAACTATGAAGCCTGTAGCATTTGAAATGATGTTGACATGTTAATAAGGCATTTCTGACAGAGAGAAACACCGGAGTTCTTTCATCAGTGCCTATGCGTGCAAAACATAATAGTGCTGCGTTTGGGTCCTTTGCTTTCTGCAATTTGAAATTTGGGTAGAAGTAGTGGTTTTGAAGCACTGCTGTGTGGAGGCTGGTTAATTTGGTATTATGGTGAGTGCATTTGATTCTCTGTGAAATTCAGCGCCTCTAAAAATCAGGATTAGAATCACCACGAAGCCAATGGGATATTGAATAAATTGTCTGCTCAGGCTCAGCCAAGTTCTCAAAATCATTCTTGCTTTATGTCCTCTCCCATATTTTCAAGAATGCTCCTTTATTTCAGTTAAGAATTACTCGTGATTTGTTTTTGGTGTCGGTTTGCCCGAGTGTTTTTCTCTTTCCCATTTTTAGATCGGGAGGAGCGCGTTTGTGACCTCCTCTTCATCTCTACCTTCCTTCCCCTCCACGCTTTCCTGGTCAAGGGATGAAAGCACACGAAGGGTTAAGTACCTTCCCAACTGGCCTTTTACCTGGAGGAGGTGGCAATCTCCAAGAAGGCTTACGCCTCTGTCCTCTGCCCTTTTATGCTCACTGGCCTCCATGCTTGCACGAAGCAGTTTCATCACTTTCCGTTTCTTCGCACCGTGCTGTGGATTCTTTCCTCTCTAACTCCACAATGGCTAAAATCTTCAGTTTAACCCTGTGCACAGTCACTCCAAATCACTTGTTGAGCTGCATAACAATGAAAACAGCCAGAAGACAAGTTGGCTGCTCTTTGGAAAGGGATTTGGCAAGCACTCATTGATATTTCATAAGCCAATATGTAACTCTTCCTCTTGACTAAAATGCACTGCATGAGGCACGTGCATGTCCTAACTTCTGAGCCTGCTTTCTTTGGGGGCTATCAGGCTGCACCAATCCACGTCGATATTCATTGACTGTTTATCTTACAGGTGTTCATTGCTTTGTTTGAAGTGAGTTCTTTCAGCATCCAAACACAGTGCCCAACCATTCTTTCAGTGTTGGCCAGCCTGCTTTCTGCTGACCTTAGCAGATGGAAGTCTGAATGGGTGTGGGAATTGCTGTTAGCAAGACTGTTTTTCAGGTCAAGGTGAAAGACACTGAGTGTGTATAAAGGAAGCTTACATGCTATTCCATCAGGCTCTACAAAGCCATATTGAACAAAAACAGTTGACAGCAGGGAAGAAAATAGCAATGTGAAACGCATTCTGCAAGCTCTTGTTGTTCCAAAGGTGCTGCCTTTACTGCAGCTTCTTGTGTCAACTGTTAGCTATTTTGAGAAGCCTCAGGCAGCTCCTTAAGCTTTTAAAAACATTTCTCTCTTGTAGTGGAAGATTTAAACCTGGTCTCGCTCAGCTTCATTTGCTAGAAGAAACCCTAAATGCCAGTTTGCACAAGGACACAATTAGCACAATTAACGGTTTGATAGCCTGGTCAGCGCCAGCTTCTTTTGGGCTTTATTTTTAGTTTGGGAGCCCTGTAACAACTGTAAAATCAAGTTCTGTTTGCAGCTCTAGGAGAGCGTCCATTTTGGGCTGTGCAGGGGCCCCCAGCAGCTGATGTGTCACAAACTCGTGAGTGCTGCAGGTGAGCAGCTTTCAGCTTGGCTGTGGCCATTTCACCGCACTTCCAGCTCGCACTGCTTGCAGGAGGTGCCTCTGTCATCACAACGAGTTGACTGCATTTTGAGATCTTGCTGATTCAACCTCTTCAGCTTTGAAGGACAAAGCAATGCCAGGTCCTTCGGGGTGTTTTTAGATGCTTATGGCTCGTTTCATAGAAACTTGCAAGTAGCTTATATCCATTTTGTCGTATGTTCAGGGTTTAAGCTTGGCTTATTTCTGAACATCTCAAGAACAAACTTGAGAGGGAAATGTTTGTAGTTCTTGTAAGGTTTAACTATTTTTGAAAAGATCTTTGGGGGGAAGTTCTCCCTCTTTTTTTTTTATTATTCTACTTTTTCTGCATGGTTGATACAATGAAAACATACCATCTCCTTCAGTTCCTTGGAAAATCATTGCAGTCTCTGCTCACATTTTCAACATGACACAGAGTGTTTCTAAAAGCAGTCTGGGGCTTTGGGTGCTGGATGGTCAGACTGGCCTCTTTCCACCAGGATGAAGAGCCTGCTTTCCAAATTCTTCCGTCCTTTTTGTGATTATTATTTTGGCTCTAATGTCCTCCATATCAGTTGGGAAAATAACGCATTTACAGGGAGTGCTGGATATTAAAACCACAGACTGCATATAAAGTCCTCATCCTCAAAAAATGTCTGTCACTTTGTGGAGTTTATCTTTAGTAGCTATCCTCAGAGGTGAGCATTCAAAGAATCCTTGGTTTTTTTTTTCTTTGCAAAGTAGCTGTAAAGTGAATGGAAAGCTCTTGGACTTTGGGTGTTTGAGTTTGGTGGTGTTAGCAATAGGTAAGTGCTTAATAAATGGAATAGCTCTTAACCAGTGAAAAATGTTTCCTTGTCACATTTTCGGTCCACCCTCAAGACAAAAGCATTGTTTCCTAACTGTAAGGATCTGGGATGCTGATTGAAGATATCGCTTACAATCTAACACTAGAGATTCCCTTCATCTCAACTTCAGAGTTTCTGAGGAGCTTTAGCTTTGGTTCTTCAGCAGGAAGGGCAGAGAGCCCTCTTGGGTGAGCAGTGCCTGTGAACGAGGTGGGAGCTGATGCTGAGCCTGAGCTGTGTGTACAGTGACACTGATGGGTCTGGTTCTGAGTGGGTGAGCTGTAGCAGGCACTTCTGATGAGCGTTGCGGTTTTTAAGATTGGAAAAGGCAGATGTGTAGTGCTCTCAGAGCCTGCCTGAAGCTGGGAGTGTGCCTCACAGGGCTTCAGATTGCAGGTCTGTGTGAACTGCAGAGATTGGCCTGATGGTAGATGTTCCAGGAGCTTGTAATGCCAGGAAACAAACTATTCTAGAAGGCTAAACCTGTTCAGAAAAGGAAGCCTAGCTTTGTATTTCAAAGTCTGCTTTCAGTTTCTCCCTAACAGAGGGGCTTTGTGTTAGCCTGTGTGGGGAGAGTGGGTGCTCTTGAGCTGGTGTGGTGCACATATGGTCTTTTGTATTAGCAGCCCTCTGCTGGGGAGGGTAAAAGAACAAAAACAAACCCAGACATTTGAACAGGAGTTCAGGGTTAAAAACAGCATCGTCCCTGCCACATGGGCTGGGTGCATTGCTGGGAGGTGCAAAGCTGGTCTGCATGAGAATAGGAGGTGGAACATATTGGGCCTTTGGCTCTGTGAATAGCCTTCTGCTTTCGTTCTGTGGTTGGCCTTAACTCTGGTTGGTCTGGCCTCCTACCCCTTGATCTGGGACAGCCTGGTGCGCCGGGCTCTGGAGTAGCAGCAGGTACAGGGGCTGTCGTGCTAAAGGGCAAACCACACAGGTGGGATGCAGTGCTTGCACTCCTCTTGGGGCTCCTCTTTCTTGCACGATGCTGAAACAAATCTGCCTTTGTTGCAGGCCTCAAAGCTGGAAAAGCAGAGCAGTGTGCCTGAGAGCGACTATGATAACACCACTGCCCCTCTGGAGCTGGAGGAGACGGGGTAGGTAGAGCTAATGCTGTAGCATCGTGCTGCTGGAGGACAGGGAAGTCAGTGGTGATGAAGCTCTGCACTGCAGGGCCGAGCTCAGCTTTGTTCCTTCGCAGGTCGGGCAGGAAGGGAAGGCAGAGGAGTGTCGTTTGGCAGGGAGAGGGGTCCATCCCTGAGGACACCGACACAGCCCCCAGCTCCAGTTTGCCCAGTACAGAAGATGTGATTCGGAAGACTGAGCAGATCACTAAGAATATTCAGGAACTGCTGCGTGCAGCACAGGAGAACAAGCACGACAGGTAAGGCACGTGTGCTGGAAAAGCTCTGGAGGTTATGAGAAAATGAATAAAATGCAAGCATTCTCAGAAGTACAGCTGCTAACTGCCTGTGTTCACCCTGGATTTCACACACATGGAGAGTGTAGGTCTGTTCCCTGGTGTACGTCAAGTAATGGACAGCTTCAGTGTGTCAGCACAGCTTCAGCTCCCTTGGGGAACTCCTGGTCCATTTGAGCAATTAATTTCCAGAATAACCATGAGCAAGTAAAAGCCATAGTCACAGTCTGCTCATCAGGTAGAGCTCCTGCACAGCTCTTCTGGAGGACGAGGAGTGTAAATAACAATTAGATCTTCCAAGTACAAACACGTGTTAGATGTGGAGCGGTGTTGGTCGCTAGATAAGCCAAAGCTGGCAGGTCTCACTGTGAGCTGTGTCCTGCCTCCAGCCCTGCGTTCTGCACCCATCACCCATCAGATGATTTCTGTTAAACCCTCACTTCCTGCCTTGCTGAGCGAAGTGCACAACAATGGGGCCACTCTTGTTCTGTGTTTTTTCCTTCTGGTTCTTTTCTATTTTTAGAAGGGACAGTGCACTGCCTTTCCTCCTTCTCACAGTTCTAATGTGTTAGTGCTGAGCTCATTGCCCTGCCCATAACCTTTTCCACAGCAGTCCTTTGTTACTTGATTCTCACAGATAATAAGGAGCAATAGTAAGAGAAGTTTTAAATGAGTTTGGGTTTTCCGTATGTCAAGGCTTACAATATTCCTTGGAAAAAACAGTGCAGTGTACCCAGCTTTTAGCTGTTATATATATATCTATAATATATATATATTATATATATATATATTATATATAGATATAGATATAGATATAGATATAGATATGAATAGATATTTAAACAACCTGTGCTGTTTTCTGTGCTCTGTGTACCATGCCTGGGCTATGGTGGTGTTTGCCAGTACTTACATGAGTATAATCTTCACTGAACTGTGAAGCTGTTTTCTTTGTTTTCCTGTTCCCTGGCTTTGTCTGAGGGGTTGAGAATTGCTCGGGATGGAGGAGAATGGTTCCTCCATTCCATCCCTGCAACAGGGGGACACTTCTTTGATAAACTGAGATAGCTGGGGATATAACAGCTTCCAAATTCCTGCTGGCAGTGCTGTGGATAAAAGAATGGCATGCTGCATAGATGATCAGACAGTAATAAAATGATGCAAGAAAACAATCTATTAATGATACACCTTCTTCCCTTTTTTGTTTCCTGACTTCCTTCCATTCCTTTCCCTGTGCTCCTCTGGCCTGTAGACCATTCAGGCGTGTGAGCACCCTCAAGCTCAGACACAGCCTTGGCTGCTGCAGCACCCTGGTTCCCTGGGCTCAGAGAGCTCCCCTGCAGCCCCTGCGCAGCCCGCAGCCCGCTCCTGCCTCCTGGTACTCTGGCCTCTGTCCCTGCCTCCCAGGCACAGTGTCCTTTCTCTTTCTCTCTGCTGCCTTCCTCCCTGTGCACAGGGGTCGTTAAGGCTATGCATGAAATGCTGTGGAAGATAAGGAAAATTCAGGTATCGAGTGCAGGGAGTTACAAGCTGGTTCAGTTGAAGCTCCTTTTAATGCAGAACAGAATTGCAGACTGGAACTGAGCTGCCCTAGTTTAAGATATTCTTCTGTCTCTGCTGTGCCTGTTGCCCAAGGAGATGAATGATGATAACTGACAGCACAATGTAGGCTTGCTGCTTCTCTGCACTGTTGCAAAAGTGCAGAATTTTCATGATTCCCTGCATGCAATGTTCCCACTTTTCAGCTTTAGGTCTTCAACTGTTGATACAGCTGACGTGTTGAACAAGAAGATAATTTGGTCTTGAACCAATTAAAAAAAAAGTTAAAAGTCTTCTAACCTGACCAAATATTTCATTAATGCCTAAAATAAAAAGGAAACTTAAGTGAAATGTTCTCTAAAACATAACTTCCCAAGTTTTAACCCCAGGTATTACTGTGTCAGAAACGGAGGAAGAGTTTTGCCACCAGTTCCTGGTGATGATGGATTCTCTTCTGTGAGCTGCCACAAACCCCCCCGATGTCTTCCTGGGATGTGTGTGAACACATCCAGTGCATCAGGTTATTTCACAAGCTTCCTGTGAGCAGTAAAGCCCTCCCTCCAAGACATACCATAAACTTGACAGTAACCTGGGGAAGGTGTTGTGAAATAGGCATCGTTAATCTTCACTTGGGTACTTGTAGGGTTTTATCTGCCTTGGTGGAGAGTTTAATCAGCAAAACTGGCTTTTTTATGAGGTGAAGTGCTGTTCAGTGTGGCTTGCAGGGAGCTCATTAATTTCTGAGTCACTTGCAGAATGGAATTACAGTGGACGTGGAAGATTTCCTCCACTTTTAGGTTATTTGGAAGAACTTGGGCGATTTGAGACATACAGAAATACACTTTTTTTTAATTTATTTTTTTGAGCAGTTTTCCTGCATTGCCAAAATGACCCCACTCTGTTGCTTCCTTCTCAGTGCATCTGCAACTGACCCATTTTTACACATTTGGTGTTGCAAGATGGCTGCATAACAACTGTGGGGTTTGCAGTTTGGTTTTGTTGCTTGACAGGGCAATGATCTGCCATAACCTACGACTGCTGGATGTTTTTCTTGAATGCTGTTGCTGTGGTTCTGAGGTTCTTTTGCATAAGACTGAACCATCTTAATTAACTAATACTGAAACGGAGTTTTTGAAGGATCAAAACCTTGAAGACTATTGCCTTGTTTTGAGCAGACTAATTGGTGTGCGAGTCAGAAGTGCAATCTCTGAGGACTAATGGAGTCTGCATTCATTTGGTCAGCCATCGCTGCTTAACTCAATAGAATTACTGGGTATTTAGCCTAAAACTGAACTGCTGTGACAGCAGTTGGTAGTTAAAGCTGCATGTGCCTGTGAACTGCAGTATGAGAACTGTGAATGGTGTTTGCTGTGCTTAAATGAAACACGAAATCAATTGAAACACTTTGGTTTTCGTAGAACTCTGAGATCCCAGGATGTTTTTAGCTGGATCCTTCATGGTTTAACTACTTCTCTTGCAGCAGTGTGCCCTTCCAGTCTCTTGGTTTATGCAGATAGAGCTCTTTCAAAACACAGAGTTCACCTTTCTCAGATCCCACATGCAGAGAAATGTGTTTGCATCCACTTCTGGTTGTCAGCACTGCACTGAGTCAAAAAGCAGTTATTTTTTTTCCCCCCAAAGCAACACCAGATTTTGTTTAAATACTGCCTAAGTGTGGAGCCTTTACTGCCTGTCTGACTGCATGGATTGGTTTGCTTGGGCACACTGTGCCACGCATAGCAGCTGTGTCTGTTGTACATACACCAAACACAACCAGCTGAGCGACTTTCTGCCCAATTTAGAGGCAAGCTCAGGGGCAGGGAGGAAATGCAAGTTATGACTTAATGTGTAGTTAATATTCACAGGCACGTGTTTTGTAATTGAATGCAAATTGGGACTTTTTCTGACAGTGCTTGGCAGAATAGATCTGGACAGCTGTTCCCTCAAACAGTGAGTGAAGAATGATGAAAACTGAGGAAAGGATTCTGTGTTATCAGTTCTTGTTTTCTCTGAAGCCACGGTGTTGCATGCAGACCTGTGCTGCAGTGTGCTGGCAGTGCTGGGTAAGGAGGCCCTAGGAATCACCCAGCTGTGTGCTGGATCTGCTGCAGTTGCCTAAAGCACAGCCTTCACAGATAGCCTTGGAACACGTATGGGGTTTTGTTACCCAGTTGTTTCTAGAATAACAGCCCCTGAGCAGTGAAACTGAAGAGGAAGGGCAGTGCAGACATGATGAATAATAGATTGCATCTGTTTGCAGCTATATACCATGCTCTGAGAGAATACACGTGGCAGTGACAGAAATGGCAGCCTTGTTCCCAAAAGTAAGTGTGTTTTTGGCTTCATTCTTTGTTGGATTTCCTTGCTGTAAATGGGTTGATGTTTGAATCTTTCATCCGTATACTTATTCCCATGCTAATCAGGTAAGGTTAATTTGCGTATTCGGGCCTCTAATTTTACCTTTGGACTTCCAACTTGAAAAAGTGCATGCAGTTCATGAAAACCTGGGAGCTACTTGCCTTTTGCTTAAGGAGTTATGGGGCTTTACTGGAACTTAGCTGGACCCCCTGGTTTCTTTTTGAGTGTGTTTCCCAATGCAGATATGTGTAGACCTTCAAAGTAAATTTCAGGGAGTCTTTTTACTGAGTAAAACTGGCAGGAGAATCTCATGCTGTTGTGCTTACTCTGAACTGACCATCTTCTATGTGCTCTGCCCTGATATCAGCCAGGAAACGGGCATTAGAAAATTTCTGAGAGTAACTTCTCAATGGAGAGCAGGAATCACTGTTCCCTGCATATCCACTGTCCCTGCACTTGAGATTAAAGAGGTGACATTCTGGGAACTTGTTCCATCCCCTCCTACCCCACGCCTGCAGCGATGGCTTCTATCACAGCACAGAGGGAACGTTCCATGCGCTGTAGCAGCAGAGCTGTAGCAGCAGAGGGCCCACCTTAAAGAGCAACTTGTCGAGCACGACTGGGTAGTTAAAAGCCATCCTAAAACGCTTCTGTTTTTTCTGTCTGGTTCCACTTCTGCTTTCCCAGAAACCCAAATCTGAGCTGGTAAGGACTTCTTTGCGCCTGCTGACATCTAGTGCCTACAGACTCCAATCCGAGTGCAAAAAAACCCTTCCAGTGGAGACGTGTCCCACGACAGACATCCAGCTGGTCACACAGCAGGTCATCCAGTGCGCCTACGACATCGCCAAGGCTGCCAAGCAGCTGGTTACCATCACAACCAAAGAGAACAACAACTGAGTCACACTCGGCTTTTTTTGTTGTTGTTTTAGAGGTTGGATTTCAAATATAGGTGTGGAACTGTTTGGATTTTTATGAGGAAAAACTAAAGGGGCAAGAAACCTCTTTTTGTTTTTTGTTTTTTTTTTTTAAACTCAGTATTATTTTTGCATGTTTTCTAACAATTTTAATGATTAATTTAACCCACTGCCTTATTTTGTGCCTGTGTTGCCAGTTTAGTTACAAATAGTAGCATGTTGCAAATAGCTGTTGAGCCAATATCACGTACCAGCATTGTATCAAGCTCTTGCTAGATGTTTCCTTGGGGCCACTTGCTGCTTTCAGATATTGCTTGCCAAATCCCCACCGAAGACAACTGCACATATCAGAGGGCAGGATCTCACCCTGCTCTGTCCATCCTGGAGCCTCGTGTGCAGTGCTGCTGCTGCTGATGGAGAAACCTGCAGTGAAGCGGGCTCTGAAGGCTCCAGGACAACTGCTCACCAGCAGCAGGATGCTTGTAGTCCTGGTGATGGAGTACCAGCCAGACTTGACCCGTTCCCATCAACTGTTGTGCAATAACAGTACTTTTTTAGTCTGCTGAAACAAGAGTAGCTGTGGGCATCCAAGCTTGTTACATGTAACTATACAAGGTCTTTGTCACTTTATCTGTTTTGGAAGGAATTTGAATAGTTATTTCTTTTAGTTGTCACTATGCCGTTAATATATATGTTTGATGTTACTTTAGGGCATTAGTGGTTAAAATATTATCCTTTGTTTCTGGCTCAGTAACTCATTTTTAAGTTTCCTATGGAATTTCTCTGTCATCTTCAAGGCAACGCCATGGTTGCAGCAGCATCGATGAAGTTTCACTGAAGATTTGTGATTTAAAAGGAAGAAAAAAAAGGAAGTTACAGTGCCAGTTAAAAGAAGCTGTGTCTGCCATAGCATATAACCTCTGTACCTCACTGTACCCAAATGTGAAAAGATTTCTTATATCCCATAAGTTTTGTGCAAAGCATTCAGTATTTGTCAGGCTGTATGCTGGATAACCCGTGCTAGGCTGCCTTTCACAGAGGTACACAGGGGTAAACATCCACGTGCATGTCAGCTTTTTCCAGTTCATGAAACTTCAAAAAAAAAAAACCCACATATAAGACCATAATTACCAAAAAAATCTAAACTGCATGGAAAAAAAGAGCTAACTTCTGCCTCCTTGCATCCTCCTAGGAAGCACGCTGTGATGCTGGAGGAGCCCGCAGCAGTTCAGCTGGCAGCCAGTTCATTGTATGCAGGAGAGAAGCTGCAGAGCTGTAGCAGCTGTCACGTGTCAGCAGTTGAGGAGAACATTCAGACAGCTTTCACAGAAGCATCTGAGCCAGGGCCGGCTGTCTGCTGTGTGACAAACAGGGCACAGAGCCTGCCAGCAAGGCTTCCTGCTGCAAAAACTGCCGTGTGGAGGTTAGCAAACAAACTTCAGCCATGCCTTCCTTTTCAGGTCAGGCTGTATGGTGTATAAACAGAGCGCCTGGACGCTGTGGGGTTCCTGGATGTTGTGCTTAGCTCCTTTTTTTAAGTAGCCTGAGTTGGGAACTGAGGGTTGATGACAATCCAGTCAATTAATCTCCAGCAGGGTGACTTTTTATTCCCCCTTTCTATGCTTTCCCTAAGCTCACAGGAATGCAGACAGGCTGGGATTAGAACCAGAAGAGACATCTTGAAAACTACCTTCCAAATTACGCTGCTGGCACTTAAATACACTGATAATCTGCTGGGAGCTTGTTCTGAACTTGGCATCATTGAAAGGTAGCAGACAGCATTTTTAAATCTCTCAGGCCAGGGCTGCATGCTTCCCTTTCACACACCTTACCTGGTTTCCAAAGCTGGGTGACCCTGAGTTTCCTTGTAGGTGTCACTTCACACCTGTACCAAACAAAGGGACACTGCAGCAGCTGACAGCCCTTGCTCCAGGTTTTCCTAGGACTCACTGGAAGGTCTAGCTGTAAGAACATGGCCACCTGTAATGGATTGATTTGGCCTTCTGGCACATCAGCAGTATTTCTGGTAGTTTCCACCATCTCTGAACAAATGTTTACTCTAGGTTGGTCCTCACCACACCACAGCACTGCCCCAGAACAACGCACATGATGTGGGATGTGCAGATCTCAGATTCCATCAGTAGAACAGAGGCAGCCTGGGCAAAGGCTTATGTGCTGTGTCAGATCTTTACACAGAGTGGCACAGCTGTGGAACTGTGGAGCAGTAGCTGAGCCCCCAAATCCTACAGCACTGCAGGTCAGAAGATTCATAAAACTCTTGGTTTTGTTGTGTTGTTTTCTAAGGAGATGTCCTTTTTTTCCCCCCCTTGTAAACAACTTTGCTCTTTCTTTACAATATGCTGCATAGGAAAGTAAAAATTCTTTTGCCTTTTCCAAAACTTGTATTTTTCAGTGTCATGCTGTCTGATTTAATCTTTTGTTTACTGTATTACTATAAAATGCTAAAACCTTTCCAGTGTGTGAAATACTTGAGATTATTTATCACTGTTTTAAGAGAAAAAGTCATGGATGAGTTCCTGTAGCTAAGATGGATCTGAATGTACTGAGCCAGCTGAAGTGCTGGGCCTGGTTTTCAGTTGCAATTTCCTATGACAGTAGCTGAGAATCAAGTGTAATCATCAGCTGAAACTCCTCTCACCTTCTGCACTGCAGCAGTTTGAAACTAAAAGGAAACTAACAAATATTCAGCTTGTAATTATTCACTGTGAAACAAGGGAGAGGAAAAAAAATAAAGCAAAAGCTTATGGAAGCTTTCAATATGTCCTGGAGAGGAACTGGGCACGTTAACAATTACTGCCAAGTTACCAATCTTACTGATCTGAGATGGGTCACGAAGCAACCCTAAAAAGACAGCAGGGGCTCCCAGGCACGTCCTCCTTCAGAGGTGGGAATGGGGATTTTAAAGCTTAAACAGAAAGCAGCAGCTAAAGGCTCACAGTTCCTGTTCCACAGGAGGCACAGGTTCTTCCACGTTTCAGGTCCACAGCAGAAGTTTGACTTCTTTGCTGTTTTAACCCAGTGTAGCACTTACTGGAATGCATCGTGTCTCCTGAACATGGAGTAAGCAGAGCAGTTCAGGGTGCAGCCCTCCAAGCATGCTCAAACCTCCAGCTCTATTAACGTCAGCAGAAAATTGATCTGGTGTTCAGTTGTGTCACAGCCAGATATTTTCAGAAGCACAACTTCTGAGTTGAGTCCTGGCATCGCTGCAGGCCAACCCACAGCCATAATTATTTCAGGAGTTCCTCAATTCTTCAAAGTGTTCTCATCACCCACAGCTTCATTTTGTGCTCTCTCCTCAGTTAGAAAGGATGATAACATTCAGGTCCACGCTGCTTTTGGGTGACCACAGAGCTAACAGTGAAACAAAACATCATGGCTACTTTATGGGCTTTATCATTAATTTTGCACACACGCTGCCCAGCAGGCAAAGAACACACAGTAGCAAATGCAGACTATTATCATGAAAAATAAGTCACTTTTAGTGGATGCTCTGGTGCATTAACACCCCCCTCCACCTTTCTCTGGCTCTTCTAGCTACTATCTATTAAATGACAGCGAGTTGCCTGTTCCTAGTTTAGTATGAGAAACATGGTCTTCTGGGCATGTGGTTAAGCAGAGTAACACAAACTCAGATTCATTTTCAGCACAACAGAAGAGGAAAAGATTGAACAGCACAGACGCACTGCTGCAAGAACTTTAACAACTGCACACGTTTAGTTTCACATTTGAGGCTGTCATCCTTCCTGATGCCCCTGAGCCTTAGGATGACTTCCTTGCTGCACTGCTACCTGCTGCAGTAGCCCTGCTCAGCCATGCTCCTGGCCTCCTGCTGCACCAGCTCTGCACAGCGCTGCTTGTTTGATCTCTCCTGCTCCTCCTCCTCCCTCTGGCGTTCCTGCTCCTCTTGCTCTTGTAAGCGCCGTTCTGCCAGCTGAGCAGAGACAAGATGAGGGCTGTTACAGCCAGGTCACAGAGATGCAGGCCAGAACACAAACACGTGGTTGGAGGCAGTAGCACAGCAAGGTTTCCAGCACAACCAGCCTGAACAGGGGCACTGGCTCAGCCAACAGATGACACAACAAAGCCAGTGGCTGTGCAGACACTTGAACAGAAACAGCCAGAACTGTTCTGAACGCATCTTCAACACTTTGCTCTCTCTCTGAAAAGCATGCTATACCTGAGCTTCCAATTCCTGTCTGCGAGCTGTTTTCAGTTCCTTCTCTTGCTCTTTCTCTCGCCTTGTCAGTTCTTTTGCCTCCTCAAGCTCTTTAATCAGTTGCTCTCGCTGCTTTATAGACTCTTCTTGGGCCTGTCTGTTTAACTCCATCTTCTCCTGGATCTGGCGCTGCCTGCCTGCAAGGACCTGTATGAAATGAGAGGATTAAGAGAGTAGATAAGGAAGAGGCCAGATATAGAACCAAGCCTGGGGAAATCTCAGTGTAGGCAGTTAAACAGTTCTCAGAAAAGTTTATCAGACCAACAGAAAGACTCGAGCACAGAAGGCTGTGACCCTCTGCAGGTCGGAAGGTCACAGCTGGAACAACAGCTTTGTCAAACCAAGAGACACCTCATCAGAAAAAGTCATCACCTCATTCATCAGGCGATCTCTGGCCATCTTCTCTCTTTCCCATTGTTCTTTCCTCTTCTCCCACACTTTTCTTGCTTCTTCTCTAAAGGTGAAAGAAAGGTTCCTTTCTAATGTTACTCCTTACCTGCAGGCACATTTCTACAACAGCAAGGCCAACCAGGCACCTTTTTCTGATGTCCACTTCTAAACGTCCACCTATTTAACAAACAGCAACGAGCTCTGCCAAACAGGCAAGAATATTCAGCACACACATTCTCTTCAGGCGATGTACAGCAGAGGTGCACACACACCTAAAAATGATCTGTAGCTCTGCCTCCCTCTCTTTTTCTAACTGGAGCTGCTCCTCAATGACACGTCTCATCCAGGCAGCATCTGCAACAGCTCGCTCTCGTCTTTCAGACTGGCGGCGCTGATCCTCCTCTTCTTTCTCGAGGAGGGCTAATAAGATTTGTCTGTCTGTTTCCTTGAGGGAAAAAAAAAAACCTGAAGATTAACAACCATCCAGCGGGCTTCCAGCCTGCGTATTTCTGTGCTCTGTACAAATCATTGGTGACGTAGGGTGTGCGCTCAGAAAGACGCTGACTGCCAGTTTCACTGTGATCTTTTCACTCCAGCCCTGTTCATAAGCCAGAAGAGGCTTCCTAACTGCTTATCTGTAGGCACTGGAGGCAGACACACACACATACATACAAAGAACAACTTCCTTCAGCATGCAGTATCTATGGTGTATAAATCATAAGATGTTTTCCTCTTACCAGCTCCTCCTGTATCTGCTGGGCTCGTCTCTTCAACTGGGCATCACACTGATGCCTCAGAAAGCGACTGAAGGAGAAAAGCAAAACAAATTCAGACTCTCTCTAAAGCCCTGTTTTATAATATACCAGCATTCAAGAAAGTATATTTATGACAATAAAATATAGAGAGGCAACAGAAATACCTGCTACCTTGAACACGAACAAAAAGCACTATTGACACCAATGCATTCATGCTTATTAGCTGTTCTGGGCACTTCCAACAAAAAAACAAGTATTTACTGCCCACCCCTGCTATCTAAAACATCTCCTCCTGCTGCAAGTACTATCATGGTCATAGGCAGAGATTCTATCCATCACTGCTTAGAGCTACACTGATCCCATACCCAAGCTCAGTCTTCTTCCGGTACTCTTCCATTTGTTTTCTCTCTTCTTCTAAGCTTTCCAGCTCCCATTGCTGCTTTAATAAGTTTTCTTGTTCTTTCTTCAGCTTTGTTGCCTAATGGTTTTGAAAAGGGAAAATCAATAACCAAGAAAGTTCAGGGAGCTAGGACATCCCTGAGAGCCTTTGTACCAGAGTTTGTACCACACTGTTCCTGTGCAAGCAGTCAAACTCACAATGATGGTAAATACTCCACACCATTTGTGTATCTCTTGCTCACAGCATAAGAGATAAGGTGAGGAGCTTCAGCTGAAAAAGCCTTCCATCTGAACCTCTCACACACCTGCATTCGTGGAGAGGTCTACATTACTGACAGAATGCAAGTCACAGCTGACTGTGTTTCAAATTTAATCTAGGGGAAATCCGGAGGGAAGAGGTCAGGTCAACGTTGCTGCATTTCCAAGTGAAGCAATGAACTTCCTTCCTACATGAGGAGAAGCTGAAAATTACCTCTGCCTCCCGTAACTTCAGTTCTTCTATCTGTTGAAGCAACATCTCTGCTTGTTTCTTGTTTTCCAGCCGACGTTTCTCTTCCTCTTGTCTTATTCTTTCCAGAGCCTCCCTTCGTGCAATTTCATACTCATTTTCATAAAGCTTTCTCTCTTCTCGTTCTGTTGCTCCTTGCTTATAGAGCCAAAACAAAGCATTGCATTTAAGGTTAGGCTAAACTCAAAGAAACAGCCTGTGGTTCAGATGCTCAAATTGGATTCCTGGAAGCTGACACATATAGAATACAGAATAAGATATTCTAGGGAAGAAAACAAGCACTAAACAAAACTACAGAGACAAGATACTTGCAGGATATGAACAATAACTCTTAACTGAAAACATCCTTCCCATCAACAACTCCTGCTATTCTGCAGACACCAGAACCTCCCACCACTGTGAGAACAAGCAAGGCAAACTCAGTCATTATTTGGTACAAGAGAACAACAAATAGCCAGCTCTCATTCCTCTCACACCCCAGCCCTGGTAGCACAGGAAGGCCAGCCTCTTGCAGCCCATGCTTCAGGCAGCCCCAGCATACCTGCTGCTTTTGCTTCAGCTGCTCACCCCAGGACTCCACCACACTTTTCTTGTGCAGCTCTGACTCCACCTGCAAAGAGAGGCAGCACTGCTCTCAGAGGCTTTCTTATCACCAGCAGAACCCAGGACTGCCTGGAACCCCACAGCCTGTTCTCTGCACTGTCCCCAACGCCCAGAGGTCACAAACTCAGGCTGATGTCACGCACCAGTTCAGGGACACTGTGGTGATACTGAAACCAGCTGCTGGAGCAGCATGTCAGCAGAGTGGGAAACAGGTTAGTACCAACGATCTTTACATCACAGGCACTGAAGATCTGCTTTCACTATCAGATTTCTGAGTCTCTGAGAAATATCTGCTTTGGGGTGATCCCTTACAGTTGGGCCTTTTTACTTCTTCACCCTCTGCTTGTCAGATCTTGGTGCAGCGACTGCTGTGACTCAGGGTGAATTACAACAGCAGATATATGATGACGCTCAAGTTAAATTTGGAGTACTGCTATGGAGTGCTCAGTACAGGAGAGATACGGATCTGTTGGAGCACGTCCACAGGAGGGCCAAGACAATGACAGACAGAACAGCTCCCTATGAGGAGGGAGGGAGAGCTGGGACTGTGCAGCCTGGAGAGGAACGGGCTGTGGAGAGAGCTGAGAACGGCCCTTCAACATCTCAAGGGGCTGGAAGAAAAAAGGTTTCAAACCGAAAGCGAGGAGGTTTAGACTGGACATAAGGAAGTTGTTTACAACGGGGCAGTGAGGCACTGCACAGGGTGCCCAGAGAGGTGGTGGTGCCCCATCCCCACAGACAGCCGCGCTCAGGGGACGGGGCTGTGAGTGCTGATGGAGCTGCGGGTGTCCCTGCGGTCGCGATGCCGTTCGGGTCTCTTCCCACTCAGTTCTGTGACTCCCTCACTCCGAACGCGCACCTCCCGGAGCTCAGCGCAGTTCTGCTTCCAGTGCTGGTGCAGCAATCGCTCGGCGACCTGAACGCAGACAGCGATGTCGGCGGAGGCACCGCGCACCGCCCGGCTCGGCATCGCCCCCCGCGGCGCTCACCCGCCTCCTGCGCTCCTCGCGGGCGGCCCTCAGCTCCGCGCAGCGCTCCCGTTCCCCTTCCGGCTCCGTCCCGCCGCCCGCCCGCAGCTCCGCCTCCAGCGCGTCCCGCTCGTCGCTCAGCAGCTCCCGCAGCCGCTCCCTGCGCTGCTCCAGCCGCTCCGCCGCCTGCCGCCGCCCCAGGCTCGGGCCGCTCGCACCCCGCGGCGCGCTCCACCGTGCCTGAGCGGAGCAGCAGATCGCGGCGCGGGCGAGCGAGCGGCTGTAGCTCTCCCAGCACAGCCGGCTCTGCGCCTCCTGCTCCCACCGCCGCTCCAGAGCCCGGCCACGCGTCGCCCGCCACAGCGCCATGGCTCGCCCTTATAGACCGCGACGGCCGCCGCGCGTCCCCGTGGCAACGGGTACGGGAGCCGCCGAGGGACAAAAAGCATCGGGGCGGCGCTTCGCGGAACGGAGAGGCCGCACGGGAAGGGCCGCAACAGCCGAGCTGCTGTCAGCGCGCGTCGTGTCGCACAGCCCGGGCTTTAAGTATTCATGGTGCTGTGAATATTTCAGGCGGGTGAAAGGTTTGGGTTTCCTCGGCCTGGCCCTGGGCACGGCCTCTGGGTGCTGACTATGAGGGGACGAGGTCTGGTGCTGCCCCGTGCCTCCTTCTGCACGGTGCATCCAGAGCGCTCAGTACGTGTTTGGGTTTTGGGAACTGCCCTGCTGGAGGCTCTGCTGGAGGCAGGTGTGTCCCGGCTGCAGCTCCGTGGCTGTAAACAGGAGAGCGGTTTTGTACGCAGCCTAATCAAGGTAGGACAGGGCAGAACGCCTTTAATCGACAAGAAAAGAAACAGGTTGGATGTCAGGAAGAAATGATTCGCTCAGAGGGCACTGAGGCCCTGCTCAGAGCTGTGGGTGCCCCATCCTGGAAGTGCCAGAGGCCATTGGTGGGTCCTGGGCAGCCTGAGCTGTTAAACTGGGCTCAGTCCTGGCTGCTGCCCGGGTCACCGAGCTCCGTGCCATCTGCCCACCGTGAAACCTTCACCTCTGCTAAATAATTCAGAGCCACCCGATCACAGCACCTGGCTTGGGGCCCGGCTGTACGGGTGTGGGCGTAGAGGACAGTGGGTGCACAAGGGGCACAGGGCTGCCCAGCTGCCCGCTCCCTCGGCCCGAGCTGCGAGGCCCGGGGGTCCCGGAGGGTCCCGGTGCGGACCGCGTGCTCCCGGGGCTCGGCGCACCGCAAGCCCCGCCCCTTCACCTCGATAAGCCACGCCCACGGCACCGCTAAGCACCGCCCACTCACTGCTACAATTCCCGCCCTCTCATTCCGATTGGCGGCCAGGTCGGTGGGTCGTGCGCAGCCATTGGCCGGCCGCGAGGAGGGGCGTGGCGCGGCGCGCCGCGCTGCCGGGTCGGTGCCGGGTCGGTGCGGGCCGGGCCGGGCCGGGCCGGGCCGGGCCGGGCATGGCGCTGCTGCTGGAGCACGAGTTCCGGCCGCTGCCGGCAGACAAGCAGATCGAGACGCTGCCCTTCCTGGAGGCCGTGGCGCACCTGCCGCCCTTTTTCGGTAAGAGCGGGACGAGGGGGCTGTGATTCTGTGATTCTGTGACACCTGCTGGACCCGATACCGGACCGCACCGGGACGTTGCCACCCACGGGCACGGAGCGCTTACCAACCCCCGCATGGACCGGGCCGCCCTGTCCGGTGCCGGGACCCCAATCTGGGTCCCACACCCCCCGGGTTCCATCCCCCCGGTCCCCGTCCGCACCCCCCGATCCCGCCCCCGGTCCCGCCCCGCTCCCCCGCCCCACCGAGGGACGCTGCCCGGCGGCACCGGAGTTGCGTCAGGGCCGGGCGTGGCGCCCCATCCCGTCCGACCCGCCGAGCAGCAGCGTTGGGAAACGGCTCGACCCCCCCCCGGCGGTGTCCCGGAATGGAACGGGGCAGAACGGGGCTGAGCCGCCGCGCTGCACAATGCAGCATTGTACGCCGCACGGGGACAGCCGGGCACGGGGCGAACCCCGCGCGGTCCCACGCTAACCCCGTGTCCCTGCAGACTGCCTGGGGACGCCCATCGTGTACTCACCCGTCAAAGCCGACCTGGCCGGGAACATCAAGGTACGAGGGGGTCACCACCCCACGCACGCTGTTGTGGGACTGGGGCTTGGCCGTGGCTGCCCACCCTGACCCCGCACCTCTGCACCCTTGCAGAAAATCCGGGCTGTTTATGACTCCAACCCCACCAAGTTCAAAACGCTGCAGAACATCCTGGAGGTGGAGAAGGAGATGCACGGTGCTGCCTGGCCCAAGACGGGCGCAACGCTGGCGCTGATGTGGCTGAAGAGGTGACAAGTTTGTGCATCACCCCTGGGCTCAGCCCGGGATGTGGGGTCGGGGGTCTTGTATGGCTTGGGTTCAGAGTGCCATCCCACATTGGGTTTGGGGTTCCAAGGCTCGGGGTCACACTACCAGCCCCCCTCTCCCGACAGGGGCTTGAAGTTCATGCTGGTGCTGCTGCAGAGCATCTCTGATGGCGAGCGGGATGATGAGCACCCCAACCTCATCCGTGTCAATGCCATGAAAGCCTATGAGATTGCACTCAAGAAATACCATGGCTGGATGCTGCAGAAGCTTTTCATGGTGAGAGCGGGGGGTGACTTGTTTTGTGGAGTTTTTCAGGGGGTCATGAAATCATTAAAGTTGGGAAGTACCTCCATGATCACCAAGTCGGACCACCGACCCATCCCCACCCTGTCTGTGTCTCTAAGGAGATATTCGCAGGGGACACTGCTGCTGATGGGGTCATCCTGGTGTGGGGTGGGCAGGGGAACCTGGGGATCTCATTGGGTTTTGGGCATCCCAGCAGCCAGGGCTCAGCTCTGCTCTCACCCCATCCCACAGGGCTCAGTCTACGCGCTGCCCTACAAGTCAGACCTGCTCAAAGCTTTGGAGAAAGGCAAGGAGGTGAAGGAGGAGGAGAGCATTGAGAAGATCCACCAATTCCTCACGAGAGTGACGCCCATCCTGGATGCCATCTATGAGATGTACACCCGGATGAACGCCGAGCTGAGCTACAAAGCCTGATGGGGTCAGCACAGCAGCGGGGCCGCACCGCTCCACAAATCCCATTCTGCTCTGGATCTGCAGCCGATAGCCCGTTTTCTAAAAAGAATCATTAATTTTCTATCGAGAATATAGCAATAAACCAATTGTACCCCGGGGGCACCTCGGGATTTCCCAAGCTTTTGTACCACAGAGGAAAAATCCGCTGTTCCTGGGAACCTGTTGCAGGGAATGACGTTTGGTGGGCGGCTGATGGTGCTGCTGGGCTCTGGGGCTGCCCCAGTCCTGGCTGTGCCGTGCAGCTCTGGGCACCCAGCGCCACTCTGACCCCGCAGCGGAGGAACGGAGGAACCCAAGCGATGACCTTCCCGGTGCCCCCAACCTTTTTCAGCGCCGCGGATGGAAGCGGTGCCGGGATGTTCCGAGAGCTGTTTGCCGGATGCCTTAAGGACCTTTCACCAGCGGGAAGCAGAACTCAATAAATCTCACCTTAACCTGAAGCGTAATGCAGGACCGGGGCGGGGGCTGCGCCGGGGGGCGGCCCTGGGGCGGGGAGCGGGGCGGGACGGGCACAGGGATGGGCCCCGCGGCGGCGGAGGAGCGGCGGGAGCTGCGCGGAACGGGCGGCGGGACGGGTATGGGGCCGGGGGCGGCGGGAGGGGACCGGGATGGGGATGAGGGTGGGTGGGGAGGGGGCAGCGGGCAGGGATGTGAGCTGCGGGGGTTCCGGAGGCAGAGGGCAGCCGGAAAATCGTATCCCCGGCCCCAGGGTGAGCGTGGACCTAGCGGGGGCTGTTGGCTTTGGGAAGGCGCTCGGGCTCTTGGGGTGGGCGCTGTGTTCCCCTCTTCCGTCCTGCCGGATTTCACAGCCGGGTAATGGGGCAGCAAGCCACCGCTCGCCCCGGTGTGACCCGCAGGTCCCAGTGCCACCACTGCCATCGCCCCGGGGTGGGCGCGGGGCTGCGTTGGGCTCAGGAGGGCTGTGGGGCCGCAGCGGGGCCGTGCCGTGCTGAGCCAGGCATTGACTCATTCCCTCCGTGGGGTGAGGAAGTCTGAAAACCAACAAAACCCAAATAACTGAAAGAGCCAAAGTCAACCCGATTGACAGCACCTTTCCTGGCAGCGGCCGTGCTGTGGGAGTGCCCCCGTTCAGAGCCCGACATTTCCCAACGCTTCCTCCCCCACCTGCTCTGCCCCATTGCCGGTGACCCCATGGGCAACATTCCTGCGTGGGGCTGCAGCTGATGGCCGCAGGATTGATGCATGACCTCTCTTTGTGCCGCTATGGGTTAAGTCCAATGAAAAACGGGTTCAAACCTCCAGGAAGAGGCAGGAACCTGATTTCCATTTGCGTGCTGCCCAGGTGGTTCCCCCAGCGTGACGTCCCCTCTGCTGGGGTCACACACACCAGACTCTGCTCCCATGTCCCCATGGGTGCTGCCAACGGGGAATCCCCCACCTGAAGGCTGCAGGACGTGGGGCTGCAGGATGTAGGGCTGCAATGCATTGCTCTGCCCAGACCCACCCGCTGCAAAATTGCAAGGCGCTGGAGTCAGACCCACACTGGAGTTCATTCCCCTCCCTGCAGTGCTGGCGGCCCCTGGGTTTGGCAGCCGGGGCTATATTTGGGCTGTGCCCTCTATGCTGTTCTCCAAAGCCGTGCTTTGCTGTGGTTTGGGCTGGGATTTGCAGCACAGCAGAGAGACGCTGGGTGCTCCCTGATCTGTGCGTTCCCTGTCTGCTGCTGGGAACATGCAGAGAGCCTGTGTTTGCCCGGGGTTGGGTGGGTGAGATATGGGGGTCACTTTTGGCAGGTGCTCGTGGAATTTCGTGCAGGAAAGGCAGCTAGAAGGAAATGCTGCACCTCCTTGGGCTGCAAAACCCCCATTGCCCCTGGTCCGTTGTGGCTTGTCATACAGAACTGCAGAAAATGATATGTTTCCCCATGTGCTTTTTCTGTCTCTGAACCCCATAGGGCTGAGGGCGAGGGCTGAGCGTGCTGCTGGGAGGCAGAGGCAGTGCTGGGGCTGAGCATTTTGGGACCTCACGGTGCGTTTTGGTGGGGAGTGGGGCTGGGAGGAGCCCAGGGGTGTTCATTAAAATCCATCATTTCCTACCAAAATTCGTAATTCCTTATCAAAATCCATTTCTTATTAAAAAAAAAAAAAAAAAAAAACCTCAGTGGTTTCATATTGAAATTCATCATTCCTTGTTGAAATGCACTACATGTGCCACTTGCCTCTTGGCCAGGCTGTGTCCTCGTGCTGTGCTGGGTCAGTGGGCTGGGGGGCACCAAATGATGCCAGGGTCAGGGTGTAACTCTTCTCCCACCATGGGGGATGGCCATAGGGTGCTCATAGAGGAGGATGGGAAGGGTGTTGGGGAGTGACTCCAGGTTCCCTCTGCTCTCAAAGGGGAGTATGGCGGACCCCGAAGACCCCCGTGATGCCGGGGATGCGCTGGGGGATGACTCCTTCCCGCTCTCCTCACTGGCCAACCTGTTTGAGGTGGAGGACACCCCATCCCCTGCTGAGCCATCCCGGGGGCCCCCCGGTGCTGGGGATGGAAAGCAAAACCTCCGGATGAAATTCCACGGGGCATTCCGGAAAGGCCCCCCAAAACCCATGGAGCTGCTGGAATCCACCATCTACGAGTCGTCGGTGGTCCCAGCACCCAAGAAAGCCCCCATGGATTCCCTCTTCGACTACGGCACCTACAGGCAGCACCCCAGCGAGAACAAACGCTGGCGCAGGAGAGTCGTGGAGTGAGTATGGGGGCACGTGGGGACGCCGGTGCCCATGGGGTGCAGTGCTTTGGGTAAGGGGTGGGATGGGGACAGCCCCCCAGGGCTCTGTGAGTGGTTTCAGCAATGCTGTGGGTATGGAAATTGGGGTGCCACACACACGCTGCGATGCTGTGGGGCTGCGGCCCCTCGGTGCCACGGGGCTGGGTTGTGTGTGGCCCCCCCCCCCCCCCCCCCGCCTCCTCCCTTCCCTATGCTGTGAAAGAGGGCTCTGTGCCGCGGCCGCTCCCTCCGGTGCGGGCGTCTGGCTGCCCTGGCATGAAAGGGCTTTTCAGGAGAGCCTCCGCCCTGGGGCTGCGTCAGGAAACCGGAGCCGGGGGGGGGGCCGCCCGCAGCCGGGCGCACAATGCCGGTCTGTGCCCGACACCTGGGGGGGACCCGTTGGCACTGCGTGCCTGTGGGCTGCATCCCATCCCCGGTGCTCCACAAAACGCAGCAGCACCTGGCCCCGTGGGTGCCGCTGGGATCATCGCTGCATGACTGCTTTGTGCGGTGACCCTAGGAGCACCCTAGATGGGTGCAGCAGGGGAAACGAAGGCACAGATGAAGGAATCGACTCCAGCGTGCAGCTGTGCTGTTCTGTTGCAGGAAGCCGGTGGCTGGCACCAAGGGGCCGGCTCCCAACCCACCACCTGTCCTCAAGGTGTTCAACAGACCCATCCTCTTTGACATTGTCTCCCGGGGGTCCCCAGATGGCCTGGAGGGTCTCCTTTCCTTCCTGCTCACCCACAAGAAGCGTCTGACGGATGAGGAGTTCCGAGGTGAGCGCCTGTAGTGGGCTGCCCCATGACCCTGCTGTACCATGGCCATGGAGAGCCACCAGCAATCCCCATGTCCCCACAGGGACAGAGGCGTACAGCCCCAGTGGCAGCACTTAGGAGGCACTGGGTGTTTGGTGGGTTAGGGTCTCAACGCCTTCCATTCCCAGAGCCCTCAACAGGGAAGACGTGCCTGCCCAAGGCGCTGCTCAACCTGAGTGCAGGCCAAAATGACACCATCCCCGTCCTCCTGGACATCGCCGAGAAGACAGGAAACATGCGGGAGTTCATCAACTCACCCTTCCGTGATGTCTACTACCGAGGTAGGGGATGTGTGGGGAGGTTTAAGGACCAAAGCAGTAGGGATCTGGGGAAGACGGAGGACCCCAGCAAAGCTTAGGAATGTGCGGGGATGGAGAGCTTTTGGGAGTCTCAGGAACCAAAGCGGGGGGTAGCATGGAATCTAGAGGTCTTCATCTTGGGGTGTGATGGGGAGCACGGTGACAGGGATGCAATGCAGGTCAGACAGCGCTGCACATCGCCATTGAGCGCCGCTGCAAGCACTACGTGGAGCTGCTGGTGGAGAAGGGTGCTGATGTGCACGCCCAGGCCCGTGGTCGCTTCTTCCAGCCCAAGGACGAGGGCGGCTACTTCTATTTTGGTGAGCAGAGGAGACTGGCAGCCCCACAGCCGCATCACCAGGGCTGTCCCCAATCGTATGCTGTCCCTGCAGGAGAGCTGCCCCTCTCACTGGCTGCCTGCACCAACCAGCCCCACATTGTGCACTACCTGACGGAGAACGGGCACAAGCAGGCAGACCTGCGGCGCCAGGACTCGCGTGGCAACACCGTGCTGCATGCTCTGGTTGCCATCGCTGACAACACCCGTGAGAACACCAAGTTTGTCACCAAGATGTACGACCTGCTCCTCATCAAGTGCGCCAAACTATTCCCCGACACCAACCTTGAGGCCCTGCTCAACAACGATGGCCTCTCTCCACTCATGATGGCTGCCAAGACCGGCAAGATCGGGGTATGGCAATGTTGGGGCTGGTGGATGCGCTCTGGGAAATGTGGCTAATTAAACCCTCTCTGCATCCCATCCTTTCCCTAATTAACCCCTGGCCTTGGCACATCTTGTCATAGAATCATTAAGGTTGGAAAGACCACTAAGATCGTTGAGTCCAACCATTAAGCCATGCCTGTGACTGAGATCATGTCACGCAGTGCCACATCTATCTAACTTTTTCTTGAACACCTCCAGGGACGGTGGCTCTACCTCCTGTCCTTTTCCATTGCTCGCCATCACGATGTGGGCTGGTTAAAAATGCACAAACTACACCAATGTGGGGATCACTGCAGCATCCCAGCACCCAAGGATGGGTGGCCATGGGTACAAATGGGTACAACCCATGGCCATCCATCCCCCTGACCCCCCATCAGATCTTCCAGCACATCATCCGCCGGGAGATTGCAGATGAGGACGTCCGGCACCTCTCACGCAAGTTCAAGGATTGGGCGTACGGCCCCGTCTACTCCTCACTCTATGATCTCTCCTCACTGGATACCTGTGGGGAGGAGGTGTCCGTGTTGGAGATCCTCGTTTACAACAGCAAGATCGAGGTGCGCAGGGAACGGGGAATGGGGACGCAGGGCTGGGTTCCCCGCTGAGCTGCCCCCGTCCCGACAGAACCGCCATGAGATGTTGGCCGTGGAGCCCATCAACGAACTGCTGCGCGACAAGTGGCGCAAGTTCGGCGCCGTCTCCTTCTACATCAGCGTGGTCTCCTACCTCTGTGCCATGATCATCTTCACTCTCATCGCCTACTACCGCCCCATGGAAGGCCCTGTGAGTGCCAGGGAACACAGGGCAGAGCGTGGGCTTGGGGTTGTGCTGATGATGTGTGCTCTCCCCACAGCCGCCATACCCTTACACTACGACCATCGACTACCTGCGGCTGGCCGGGGAGATCATCACCCTCCTCACCGGCATCCTCTTCTTCTTCTCCAATGTCAGTGCCGTGAGGAGCGGGTGGTGATATCCCCATGTCCCCACGCACTGGTCCCACTGCAGTGCCCTCCAGACACTGGAACCCAGCTCCTCTTCAACCTCTCCTCTCTCTCCAGATCAAAGATCTCTTCATGAAGAAGTGCCCAGGTGTGAACTCATTCTTCATCGATGGCTCATTCCAGCTGCTCTAGTAAGCAGGGATGCCCAGGGGACCTCTTGGGGTTGGAGCAACCCTCCACTTGAAGGGACAGTTATTGGCAGCAGTTATGCCCTTCTGCAGCTTCATCTACTCGGTGCTGGTGATCATCACGGCAGGGCTGTACTTGGGTGGCGTTGAAGCTTACCTGGCTGTCATGGTCTTTGCTTTGGTCCTGGGCTGGATGAACGCACTCTACTTCACGCGAGGGCTCAAGCTGACGGGGACCTACAGCATCATGATCCAGAAGGTGCAGTAGTGTTGGGATCTTCTGGTCTTCCCCAAGGTGGTTGGGTTACCCAAGTGGTCTTTTCCCTGTGGGACCGCTGCAGCCCTCAGCATGGGGCTCGAAGCCATCATCTCTGTCACTCGCAGATCCTCTTCAAAGACCTGTTCCGCTTCCTCCTCGTCTATCTGCTCTTCATGATTGGCTATGCCTCAGGTAGGGCTCCTGAGGCTCTCCTCCTGCAATGGAGAAGGAGAAGGCCTGGCAGCATGGTGTTCTATCCTCGTGCTGCCCCTGCAGACTCTGTCTCTGTCCCTCCTCCCCAGCACTGGTGTCCCTCCTGAACCCGTGTCCCAGCAGCGAGTCCTGCAGTGAGGAGCACTCTAACTGCACGCTGCCCACCTACCCCTCGTGCCGGGACAGTCAGACCTTCAGCACCTTCCTGCTTGACCTCTTTAAGCTCACCATTGGCATGGGTGATCTGGAGATGCTGGAGAGCGCCAAGTACCCAGGCGTCTTCATCATCCTGCTTGTCACCTACATCATCCTCACCTTCGTGCTGCTCCTCAACATGCTTATCGCCCTCATGGGTGAGACTGTGGGCCAGGTGTCCAAGGAGAGCAAACACATCTGGAAGTTGCAGGTACGGCATTGGGAGTGCCAAGCTCCATGGGGTCACCATGCCATAGAGTCACCACACCATGGGGTCACCATGCCAACCTCCATCTGAGCATGACCACCTTGGCGAGGGACCCTGATGCCTCCATCCCCAGGGGGCTGAAGGGTCCCTGGTGTCCCTGGCAGTGGGCCACCACCATCCTGGACATCGAGCGCTCCTTCCCTCTCTTCCTGCGGAGAGCATTCCGCTCTGGGGAGATGGTGACCGTGGGGAAGGGCACTGATGGGACCCCTGACCGCCGCTGGTGCTTCAGGTAAGAGCAGTGACCTGCAGTATCATGATCCGAAAGGTGTGGTGAGGTTGGGATCTTATTAAGCCTAATTAGAGTGAAATGGTTTGCATCGCAAGTATCGGGATGGCACAAGGACAAGGGGATATGGAGCTCTGCCCTCTCCGCAGGGTGGATGAGGTGAACTGGTCCCACTGGAACCAGAACCTGGGCATCATCAGTGAGGACCCGGGCAAGAGCGATACATACCAGTACTACGGCTTCTCCCACACCGTGGGGCGGCTGCGGAGAGGTGAGCGGGGTGGGGGCAGCCCCGGGCCCACAGGTGAGTATGGAGCTGGGGGCTCTGAGCGTTCCATTTCTGCAGATCGATGGTCAACGGTGGTGCCACGTGTGGTGGAGCTCAACAAGAGCTGCCCAACGGAGGATGTGGTTGTGCCATTGGGGACCATGGGCACAACAGAGGCACGGGAGCGACGGCACGGGCAGAACCCCAGCTCCCTGCTCTAGCATGGACTCTGCCTGGCCCCACAGCACCAGTGTGTGTCTGTTCCTCAGGGATTTGTGCAGCCAATATCCCTGCAGTGCCCAGCCCATTGGGCTCCCAGTCCTGGCAATTCTGGTGTCTCCGGTGCCACCGCTTTGCTTTCCTGCACCATTGGCTCCATTGCGCCAGCAGCTGGGTGCTGGGAGCTCCCCTGCCACCAACCACCATGGCCAATGGCTTTTGCCTCAAGGTTTTGGGTTGTTTTGTTTTGTTTGTTTTGCACAAGATTTATACGACTATTTATTTCGTAATAAAGAGCAGCCACCACGGCCCCGTGTCGTCGAGCGGGCTCAGCAGGGAGAATGTCGCTGCGGGAGGGACGGGGGAGCTGCGCACTGCCTGCCGTGCCGCTCCGCAGTGCACAGCCCCTCTCGCAGAGCTCCCCGCTCCCACCGGAGGGCAGCACACTCCGCGCAATGCCGCTGCCGGCGTTGGAGGAGCGCACGGCTCAGGAGCGCCGATTCGGCGGCCGCTGATGGTTGATGACACGGTGGCACAGCAGCGCAGCTCGCTGAGCAAATGATGGAGCAGAAAAGGGGACGCTCCATCTTCGAACCCGATGGCTCGCCGTCAGCTCTAACCGTGCCGTCTCCGCTTAAATGTGATTTACATATATCTCTCGTACCGCGGTTTAAATATTTCCCCAGGGTGAGGGAATGAAGAAGTTTCATTATCACTACTTAGGAAGATCTGAGCGTTCTGCTCTCGGCTCAGGCTGCATCACAACATGAGCTGCAGGGATGATGCAGCTGCAGGCAGGCTCCATCCTTCGTGCCAGGCACTATTTGGGAACGATGCACTTTGCTATCCCCACAGCCGTGCAGGCACGCTGCCCAGCACAACCCCAGCTTCAACGCTGTCCTGGCTGCAAGGCTGGGATTTCCCAGTGCAATGGGAATTAAACCAATTTCCCTCTCCCCGTGCAAATTCTCAAGTCCTATAGGTGCAGAGATGTGCACATAAGGGCTGTGTGATTTTAGGGGCTGTGTGTGGAGCAGGCCTAGGTTCCTATGAGATGCACTCCGTGATGGCTTGGTAGCAATCAGGACACCGTGGCCATGATGGTGATGGGGACACTGTGGCTACAGTGCTGTCAGTGTGGGCACCACAGCCACACTGCTGGTGACAGGGACACCGTGGCCATGATGGTGGCATCATAGGATCATCCCTATGCTCCTTCCATGGATGGTGACTCAGGGCTTGAGTAGCAATTGGACAGACCAATGCAATGGGAAAGGAGCTACAATGAAGGTGTGATGACAGAAGCACCATAGGAAGGTACCATAAAGGAAGAGAAGAAGGTTGCTCACCTGTATCAGAAGATTCCAGGTTCATAGCAAAAGCTTCACCAAAAGGGAATCTCCAGAAAGAGATCCTTCCCCAGTGGCAGTCAGCCTTAAATAAGGTCTAAGGAGAGGTGCAGCCAGCCTCCACCCTTTCTGATCACACACATGAATTGCCTCCACCTGCGCTCCCAGGGCTGACCTGGTCCTTTCCCCAGCTGCTCAATCACCATTTCAGGCCAGGACTCAGCAGTTCCCATACAGTTGTGTTTGCCTCATGCCCACCCCCCTGTGCCCTGCAGCCCCCTGGGCGCAGCCCCCGCCTCCCACGCTGCCGTGCCGGCGATGACAAACCCAGCAAAGGGAAGAGAAAAGCACTTGTCATCCAGCACGCGGAGCGAGGAAGCAAATTTATTTTTAGATAAATCTAAAGCTTAATTTGTGAAGCTAATATCAATCAAAATGAGAGATGGGTTTTTTTAAGTCCTTTCGCAGCCGTGCCATTTATATTGCCTGTCTCTCCTCCTCGCTCTCAGCCAGCAAAGGCGGCTGCGAAGTTTAATATCAGCCTGGCGTGCGCCTGCCTCAAAAATTATGATGATTATTTTAATAGGAAGATATTTGCAGAGCAGAAAAGCTGCCCTTCCACAGGCAGGGACGGTGCTGCCATGGAGGTGGCACTGCCCCATGTGCTGGGGCACAGCTCAGAGTGCTCCCTCTCATCTCCATCCGGCACACGGCCAGGCTGTGGCACTGCTGGGTGTCCCCATGGGACACTGCTGTCCCTCTGGTTGTCCTTTTGTCCCAATTCCTCTTTGTTGCCTTGACTGGCTGTTATGCCTGCTTGCTGTCCCCACAAATACATATGGCAGAGCGCGACCAAAATGGATGGAGCTGCTCTGCCCGGTGCAGCGGTGGCCCATCCCTGTCCCCATCCCCATTCTGGTAGGTTTGGGAAGAACATTTGTACCCATACCCTAATATGCAACTTGCTTGTCACTCAGGGGGGGAAGCTGCCAACTTTATGGGGCAAATAGCTTCACACAGGTGGGGAGCAGTGCCACCAGTGCCACACAGCTGATGGCATCGAGTGGGGACACCACTGGGCTCAGCGCTGCCCCAGTGCACGTGGGGCCATGGCCCCTAATCCTGGGGCTTTGGCGCACGCCCCGCACACATGCGTGCATCTCACCCGGTGCCACGGCAGGATTAACAGCTCAGCATCGTTAGGAGGTTATTTATAAGTGCCCCTCCGTGCCCTAAAATCTGCGGGGTGAAGTCAGGCTGGGGGTGGGACAGCGGGTCCCTATAGGGCTGGGTGAGAGCCACAGCAAGCAAACAAAATCCAGAGCACACATCCAGTGACATCCTGGTTTTACTTTGGGAAAAACACCATCCGGACACACAGCTTGCAGGTTTTGTGGTTTGGTTTTTTTTTTTTTTTCCTTTTTTTTTTTCCTTTTTTTTTTTTTTTCTTTTTTTTCCTCTCGTTCGTTTTCTCTCATTTTTAAAACAATATAAGTGCAGACAGCACTTCTCACAGTAGAATATAATGGTCGATTTTAGTATAAAAAAAAACATTCTCAGAGATTTGTAAATGCACTTAGTGCTTGAACAGGCCTTTCAGGGATACAGTACCTCTTTTCTGAGCACAATCACCTTGGGTTTCCTCGGGGTAGTGTTTCTGTTTCCTTGTCTCACCAAAAAACATTTTGCGATGCCTTTTTTAAATGAATAAACCTATTAAGCACATAATGACACAGAGTGAATAACGCAGCAAAATGAGCATTTCTGAACTGCTTAAAAAAAAAAGAAAGAAAAGATGAAGAAAAGAAGCACGCCACGATCCCACCGTGGTGCGATGGCTGGATGCAGTACTGAATGTCGTCCTACATACTGTCTGCCTCTAGAACGGAACAAAGCTATAACAGACAGTTATAAAAAGAAGGGGAAAAAAAGGAAAGGGGAAAAAAAAAAAAACTAAGAAAAAAAAAGAAAAAAAAACCCAAAACCTTGGAAATCTGTACCATGGGCGCAGCGCCGCGGGCTCGTCCCCCTCATTGGCCGGCACCCAAGATGCGCGCTGTGTGCAACTGAAAGAATGAAAAAATAAAGCAACAAAAAAGAAAAATCTGTTCAAGTTTTCAAGTGTTCTTCTTAAATAGCGTCCAGGCTGTCCCCAGTTATGAGCTTTAATCAAAGCAGTGCAACTTATGGACTTCAGCTAAAGGTGAGCGCGGCGGGACCCTGCCTGCAGCCCGCGCCGTGCGCAGAGCGGAGCTCCTCTCCCTGGATAGCAGCAACTCGTAGCGATTCCCTGTTCACATTCGTGGAAATAAAATGATTTCTGAGCTATATAAGACAAGCATTCCTTCATCCTTGGCTTCCAGCGGGCGCACGCGGTTCGATGAGCCCGGTTCCATGCCAGTACCTGCGGGACCCGTGTCGGCAGCCGACCCCCAACCAACCCCATCACCCCGCAACGGCCTCACGGTGCCGGAGGGCCCGGCCGCCATCCTGGCTTTGGGAAGAGCAGCAGCCGTCCCTTATCTATAGACGGGCAGGCGGATGTGGGCGTGCTGGTGGTCCAAGAGCCTTGGCACAGACACGGTCTCATAGCCCTTGCCCAACATCTGCTCCTTGATGCAGGGCGGGTGGATGTCGTTGATGAGATACTCCAGCGACTGGAGGCTGCTGCTGAGGATGGAGGTGTTGCAGAGCGCCTTGCTGGGCAGCCCCTCGGCTGGCGGCACGCCGAGCTCGCGTGGCACGGGGCCCAGCTCGGGTGGCGGGTTGTAACAGTCGCTGGTGGGGGTCACCAGGACGCTGTTCCACGGCGGCACGAAGTACTGCCCCACCGCGAAGTTGCCGTGCATGCAGTTCAATGGTGACGAGCTCACCTTCTCCCCTGCCGGCCCGTAGGGTCGCGAGGCGGCCGCGCAGGCTTCGGGCGACTTGCTGAGGGCCCCGCTGCCCCCGCTGTACACCCGCAGGTGCTGCTGCTGCTTCTGCTGCCACAGCAGGTAGTCCACGCCGTCGGGGTAGAGCCCCGCTTTTGGCCCCAGCGCCGGGGTGGAGCCCAGCGGCAGCTCGGCTCCCTTGCGGCACTCGGGCAGCACGGCGTAGGCCGAGGCCACGGCGGGGAAGGTGCCGTGCTTGGCCGGGCTGGGGTGGGCGGCCGGCAGCACCGGGCAGGCAGGCTGCGAGGCCTGGGCCTGGCACTGCTGGTTGAGCTGGTAGATGATGCTCTGGATGGAGGGCAGGTTGGAGGGCGGCAGCGCCAGGCCACGGCCCGCCAGCGGCAGCGCCGAGCTCGCCACCGTCACGGTGGGAGGCACGGGGCCCTCCAGCTGCTTCTGGTGGTAGCTCAGCGGGCCGGCGCAGGAGGGGCCCGGGGCTAAAGTGCTTGAGGATGGGTAGGGAGCGACGCCGGCCTGAGCGGGCGACAGCTTAGTCCGCTTGCCCTCCGCGTTCTTCACCACGCTTTTGCTGGAGGCTTTGACGATGGCCAGGAGGCCCTGGTAGCCGCCGGCATGCACGGGGTAGGGGCTGTAGCGCTGCCCCGTGGTGTCGTACCCATTGACCGTTCGGTTAAGGTGCTTGTGCTGTGGGACCCTGATGTTGGTGGGGAAGATCTTGATGGTCAGCGGGCTGTTGGCCACTTTCTGTGCATAGGCGTCCAGCTCGGCGGGGCTGGGGTAGCGCGGGGAATGCATGGGCGCTGCCGTCTCGCCTGCGGGAGCAAAGCACAGCATCAATCCCACTCCAAGACCTGCGGCCGTCCTTCCGCCTCACCCCCTCCTCCTCCTTTTCCTCCTCCTTTTCCTTTTCCAGCCATCACCCGCCCAATGGAAAAGAGGTCACGGCACAAACCTGCCCCCTCGCGCTT